TCTCGGCCGAGCGGTCCCTGATTTTGGCCGGACGATCCCTGACTCTCGGCCTGGGGGTCCCTGAGTGTCGGCCAGGCTGCCACTCACTCGGACGGTCCCTGACTCTCGGCCGGAAGGTTCCTGACTTCCGGCCGGACAGTCTCTGACTCTCGGCCGGTCAGTACCTGACTCTCGGCCGGGCGGGGGTCCCTGACTCTCGGCTGGTCAGTACCTGACTCTCGGCCGGACGGTCCCTGACTCTCGGCCGGTCAGTACATGACTCACGGCCGGACAGTCCCTGACTTGGCCGGGGGGGGTCCCTGACTCTCACTGTGCTGCTTGCCGTCTCGTCCCCGCAGCATAAAGTTTGCGGCCGGCCATGGGAAGGAGGGGACCATAGACTTCACGCCCGGGTCAGAGCTGCTGGTGGCCAAGGCTAAGAACGGACACCTGTCTGTGGTGAGTGGGCTTCTCCCAAACCGGGAACGTTTTTTTCCTTAAACAAGATCCCCTGGATTATGTACTGTTACAGAAGAAGCTGCTCTGATTTACAGACAGAGGGACGAACATACGCGCCCCTGTTGACCATTCAACAACACGACCTGCCGTTTATAGCCCGTGCTGACCGTTTGCTTTTACAACCATCCTGACTGACGGGAACCTGTTGCTCGGTGACCACACAGAAGGCTGCGTTTGGCTCTCAGATAACCCCAAACGCCTGAAAATGAACGATTAGAACTACAGGCTAACCTGGCATAAACAGTTCAGGTGGTACCGTATCCAGCCTCTGCTGGTTGGCGATTGGTCCAGGAGAATGACTGGACCAGAGGTTGTGATGGAGGTTTTTCTTTCCACGGTCGCCCAGTGCACACTCAGTTTGGTGCACTCCATTCCTATGAAACCTTTAGAAATGATCTGTTTAAGAGCCAATTTGGGAATTTGACTAGAATTGTATTGAACCTTTGAAGTTCCTGGAAACGTTAGCTTCCTGCCTCTGTCCATCTGAACTCTAACACGCTGCTTTTCTTCCAGACGGCTCCCAGACTGAATTCCAGATGATGACCACACACACCAGGGCCCCCCCCGCCCTGCAGTCACATGACAGCCGGCCGCGCCCTGCCTAAGCCAATCACACACCAGCTGTCACCTCGCCGGTGGCTCGTCTTTCAATTTAAAACAAACGCAAAAAAAATATGTATTTAAAAAAAAAAAAATCCAGCAAACTAATTGATATATTTATGTTTATATATAAAATTTTTGGGATTAATACTGTTGCTGTCTGAATATTCTGATTTTATATATGAAGCCAAAGAATAACAAATATTTGTGATGTATTTTTCAAGCTTATTGTGATTTATGTTTTATTTTTTTTTTGGGGGGGGGGAACAAAAGAACAACGAGTTAGAATGAGAGTTAATGAGTTAATGAAGGTTGTTGGTTAAAGATGTTTTCTGCCGTTTCCTCAGCCCTCCGGTTGACCTGGTGTTCTGTCCGCCCCCTTTTCCCCACGGTGACCGCTACACCCGGAGCTTTAGCCGGACGTGTGAGTGACCCCCAAAAAACACGAACAAAAAGTGTGTGAGACGAGTTTGTGGTAGCGGCTCGACAAAAAAAGGCGAAAAGAAAGAAGAGAAGGCCTCGTTTACCGCGACTCCAGGTGCCTTCCCCCCCACCCGCCCTTTTCATTGGGGGGGGGTTCAGTCACTTAGCCAAACGCTGACATGGCAGTTTCTTTTTCCTCAGCATGGAATCAAAAGCTTTTACAGTTGAAAACTTGCGAGACTTAAGAATGTCTGACTTCAAATCTTCATAAAAGCCAAAAAAACAACGATTTAAAAAGAAAAAAAGCTTTATTGTACAGGTGATATTCTTTCACAAGTGCATAATTTGACTTTGTGGAGGGAGCTTTCTTGCCAAAGCCGCAGCGGGTGACTAAAACCTAAGCTTGAATTAAAAGTTTAAGCTTTAGTGTAGAGCTCAGTAGCTCAGGGGCTCTTGTAGCTCATCTCTATCCAAAGGTAACAAAGGCTTTAAAAAAAAAATAGCTAAATAAATTCAAAGGCTTCATAACGAAATGTGGACAGGTGTGTTTTCATGGTCTGGACTGATCCGCTTCCCCCTTTTAGGCCGGTCAAGCTTACAGCTTTTTTATTGTTTTCTGGCCGGTAAAAGGGTTAGGGTTAGGGTTAGGGTTAGGGTTAGCGTTAGCTCCACAGCTAACTTCAGGTAAAAAAAGCCTGACAGCATCCCCAAAGTTTCTTTTATTTTTTATTTTCTCTGCTTGGCTCTGCGAAGACCCCAGCGACCGATTCTGATTCTGTGCTTTATGATTAACTTGCTTTAATCGAACCCAGACGTTTATTTTACAGGGGAGATGTATATATATTTCTATATATATACATATATATATATATACGGCTTTTGTTATGTGTTAAAATTGAGCGATCCAAGTCAGATGAGCCGTGACGATGAGACAGGAGGGGAGAAAGTCTTGACCGTTGTCCGGTGTGAGTTGTTCATGTGCCTTTTACTGGACGGGAGGTTCTTGGTTTCCCCCCCCCGGGGCTGTAAACGAGCTTTTATTCATACCGAGTGCCGTTTGCTGACCGGCGGACACTCTCCTGTCGTCAGTACTGACCCCCCAAATGTATGATTCTGCCAACACACTAAGATTCTTGTAATTTGAAAATAAAATTAAAAAAAGGTTAATACATACTGATGGGTGGCTGCTGGTTGTGTTACTTCGTTGTGTGTTTTTTTTGGGGGGGGGAGTGTTGTTACCGGAAATTTTCAGGGGATTCAAGAGGGCATCTTTCAGAAATCAAATGTAGATGTCAGCCGGGTAATACCTAATGTTAACCGTACATAAGGCTCTGCATATGTCAGGGATTTCAGTTTTAGGTTTTCTATATCAGGATATCATTAAAAAAAACATCTAGTCCCCACTGGGTCTTAAAATGAAGTTAGTCCACCTTCAGATGATCGCCAACACAAAACATATTACAACATATTATTCATCATCTATTGACCTATGATGACATACCCCTAAAGCCCAAACCACCATTCCTCCCCCACCGTGCTGACAGCTTGTACAGTCTGTTTGCGTTGTGTTTGGTTACAAAAACAACTAAAAAGAAAAATTAAACAACTTAAAACTACAAATGTAATTTTTCAGGGTAAAAAACTGATCTTAAGCTGTCCAGAATCACAGGAGGATGAACGGGGATTTGAACACTGTGTTTGTTTCAAACATGTGAGTGTGTGTGTGTGTGTGTGTGTGCAAAACATGTGGTGCTCTGACAGGAACTGTAAAAAGTGATGTCCCTCTCTGGGATCAGAAGCAGGAAAAGACCCCAAGGCCCAGATGCAGAGTACAGAAGCCACCTGGATACCACCCCCCCAAAAGTACAGTACAGTACAGGAGCCTCCACACACACACCCAGTAGTACAGTACATCCACCACACACACACACAGGATTACAGTACAGGAGTCACCTGGATGCCAGCATACACACACACACACAACCCAGGAGTACAGTAAAGGGGCCATATGTGGGGGTGGGGGGGGGTCCCCCTATGTGATCAGGACGGCAGGGGACTGTGTCAGAGCCCTAACCTGCCAGAAGTGAACATCTGGATCTGGATTCCACAAAGAAAAACAGGAAGCAAAACATGGAAACCAAACGAGAAATCCACAATTCTTTTTTTATTTTTTATTTTTATTTTTAGGACAAATGGGTTGACGTCCCTCTTTTGTCCGGTCGTCTGTCCTGCTGTCAGATCCGATGACCAGAGTCCCTCGTGTCCGTTTCTGCCCCTTTTACGCGCGTGAGGACCGGACCCCCGGGCGCGCTCTCCGGAGCTGCCACCGAGTGTCGCCCTCGCAGCGAGTCTCCTCCTCCTCCAAGTTTGGGTGCTACTTTGTTTTCAGCTGGGCCACATGAAACGCCCCCACTCCACCCCCAACCCCCCCCCTCTATTTCCAGGAAGTACCATTTGGCACGAAGCAGCGAGTAAACAAGGCGTCACCGCGGGGGAGGATGGAGAACCGGCACAAAGGAGCGCGTTTTGGAGTGGAAATTGGGGGCTGAATCCAGAGAGGGGCACGTTCAGGCTGGGGGGGCTTTCACCTCCACGCGCACACAAAGATGGAATGATTCACACCGTGAAAATACGTTATTCACAGCAAAAAAAAAAACCAACCCAAACACCCTAACCCACCGGGGGCCCTGTACAAGCCACTGGGGGCCCTGCACCACCCACCAGGGGCCCCAGGCCATCCTCTGCTTGATGGGACCTTGTCGCAGCCTAATAAATAAACCTCTGTGTTATTAATTAATGAATTAATTGATTTTTTTTTTTTTGGGGGGGGGGCTTTTTCCTCTTCCAGCTACTTTGTCGGATGTAATCAGAATCCGTTCCGTCTGTGGCTAAACATTCCAGACAGGTTTGTTTTCCCCCCCTCTGCACATGTTTTAGCAAGAGGAAAACACACACACACACATACAAGCACACACACCCACACATATACGTACGTAATATTGAGGCTCTCTGATTGGCCGCGGCTCGTCTCTAGCTCGTCCGCCGGCCAATGGGGAGGCGGCGGTGTTTGTGCGCCGACGCTATAAAGCCGTTATGATCCCGGAGAGTTTCCAAATAGAGAGAGAAACGGAAGCAGGTATACCGACACACACACACACACCCACACACACCCCAGGAGAGCTCTGGTTGTCGTTTTGGGACCCGCAGAGCGACTCTGTCCAGACTCAGGTGAGATGGGATTGGGGGGGGGGGGAAACAGACATCAGCCTTAAGCTGAGGCTTCCTCTCTAGTGAGGAAGGAGGATGATGATGAGGAGGAGGATGAGGCATCAGCACGGTCCGGGACAGAGACCCCCCCATGTCATCTGTTAGTTTGTCTGCAAACTGGAGGTTCCAGGGGGGCTTTTGGGGGGGTGTGGGGGGGTCTCTGAGCCTTTGGTTCCGCTCAGGGGGGAGGACAGTCTTTTGTTATAGCTGCCCTCCATCCCGTTGTTGACACCGAACAGCTGAGCGCTTCTCCCGATGTGTCAAGTTGCGGAAACGCAACCGGAAGTAAGGCGAATGCTACCTTTCAAAATAAGAGCACCGGCGAGATTTTTTTTTTTTTTTTTTTTGATAAAGGCAGAAAACAAAAAGGTGGTCTAGCCCTGCATGGCCCACTTGTCACCCCCCTCCCCAGTCCCCCACCACCCCCTATAACGCGTTAATCCACGTCGGTTGGTGTTGATCCGGTTTACCGTGTTTGAGCTGGGCTGGACTCTGCAGACTCACACAGGAAAGTGGAGGTCTGACTCCGTTTAGCTTTACAGAGAAAGAGAGAAAAAGGGGGGGGGGATGCGGGTGGGGGCGGATTGTGCGGGTGATTTCTGTCCAGTTCAGACCAGTTTCAAGGAAGCTGTTCGCACTTTGTTTAGTTGTTCTCAGCGGGCTGGATGGAGAAAAAACACACGACCGTGTGTGTTCGGAAAGGAACACACACACAAACACACACACGAACATTGTGTTCGAGCAGCGCGATGGGTGACAAAGCAGCACCCCGAAAACACACACAAACACACTCACAGACACACACACACCCAGAGAAAGAACAGAACCATAAAAGGGAACTTTGTCTACCAAAGCCCGCAGGTGTGAGTGTGTAGCTGTTGTGTTTTTTTTGTTTTTTTTTCTGTTGTCACCTCAGTGGTGGAGGCTGCGGTGCGCTCGCGGGCTGCTGTTTTGTGCGCGCGCGCGCCTGGCGCATCTCGAGACGCGCTGGTTCCAACTGGCTTCAGCTCGCGCGTCGAAACGCAGAGCAGAGCATCTGTTTGTCGTTATGAAGTCAGTTTTAAAAACAAAAACAAACAACAACTCAATAATGAGTTTGATGTCAAAAACTTAATCGAAAAAATGAGATCCCAGATTAGACTGTAGAATATTTCGAAGGCGTGTTTCGTGTCCCCCCCCGCCTTCTCCAGTAAACAAGTCTGCAGTCTGCTTCCATCCAGCTGGGGAGCAGCAACAGCCTCACGTGCAGCTGCTGCATCGGCCATGCCAGCAGCAGCCAATCAGAAGCAGCCCCTGAAGCCCACTCAGGCTTTTGGCTTTAATCTCTATCAGGAACAATCACCAACTGTGGATCTAAGTGTCCGGTCTTAGTGTCTTATCTCATCCGTTTTTGTCTCTTTGTTTCTCAGGCCTCAGCCCCCCACCCTCAGACCCCGTCCTTCCCTCCGTCCGGCCCCCCCGCAGACATGGCCCCCTCCCTGGCCACGGCCTTCTCCCGCCGCTGGTGGATGGCGGTGACGGCGGTCATCGAGAACCTGCTGTTCTCCGCCGTGCTGCTGGGCTGGTCGTCCCTGCTCATCATGCTCAAGTCCGAGGGCTTCTACTCCTACCTCTGCCAGGGACCAGGTGGGTCTGCTTTGCCCCCCCCCCCAGTAAATCGGGAGTAACGTTTGGTCATTGGACATGTTACTTCATACACTAATACAAGCAAATGTCACTCCATGACAACAGTTTTAGCACCAGTAAAACAGACGACACTTGACATGAATGAGAACAGATCCATTTATCCATCCATTATCGTTACCGCTTATTCCCTAATGGGGTTGTGGGGAGAACTGGAGCCTATCCCAGTGGTCAATGGGCCAGAGTCGGGGTACACCCTGGACAGTCCGCCAGTCCATCACAGGGCCACACAGAGACACACAGAGACACACAACCACCCACACTCACATTCACTCCTAAGGGCAATCTGGAATGTCCAATCAACCTAACATGCAGGTTTTTGGACTGTGGGAGGAAGCTGGAGAACCTGGAGAGAACCCATACTGACACAGGGAGAACATGCAAACTCCACCCAGAAAGGTTCTGGGTTCCCTGGGACTCAAACCCAGGACCTTCTTGCTAGGAGGCGAAGGTGCTAACCACCACACCCCTTAGATCAATTTACAGTAATAATAATAAGAAGAATGTTTGTAATGTAGTAATAATAATGTTTTTTAGGACATGTTCCTAATGAAAAAACATTTAGTAGAGGCAGAGTCTCAGAGGTAAAGATGGGCAGAGGTTTGAAAAATCTTTAAGAACCAAGTCTCCAAACTGCGAGGGGGGTGGGGGGGACTTCGGGAATTTCAATGTTCCAGCATCTGCAAAACACAACATCCTCTAACGATACAAAAAAATCAGGAGCCATCTCTGTGAGCAGTGAAGCTCAGCTCTGCACGTCTGTGTGGCCTTCAGGCCCTCTGGCAGCTCTGCTAAAAACAGATTGTGTCCTGAAATGGCTCCTAACGCTCAGGAACACCTCCGGGAACAACCAAACACAGCTCGCAGTGTCATCTGCAGATTAAAAATCTATTTTTTTGTTTACAAAATACTAAACAAATGTGTTGTTTTCTTGTAGAAAGCTACACGTTCACCATACCCACACATAAAACCCAGTTTTTTGGACCTGAAATGTTTTATTCAGACTAAAAACCAACAGGACGCCTTGTTCTTATCATTTAAAGTTAAATCTGGCAAATCAGAAAATCCCAAAGAAAGGAGGCTTTGTCTTTGGCCCCATCAAGATGTGGGTTAAAGCTCAGTCATGCACAGAAGAGTCCAGCTGTTAATATGATCCAGAAACTCCAGTTTACCAAGTTTAAGTGTAGACAATTAAGTTTGAAATTGTTTTGTGGTCAGATAAATCAGACTCTGAAATTCTTTTTAGAATTTCTGGACACTAGTTCTTTGTGCTGTGATTTAGTAATCAATGCTTGGAATGTAGGTCAAGAAAACATTAACATTTAAAAAAAAAAACCTAGGTCATCTCCAACCATATTTTCTGGAGATCCCAAGTCTTTAGTCACGGAGCCCCAGTTTGAAGACAAACACCTGTTGACGGGTTCCCAGAAGTAGAAGAAACTTAGAGAGGTGGTCACTGGAGACCATTTGTCCAGAAGGTCAGAGTTGAGTTTTTTTTGGAAACTGATGGTTGTTTGGGACATTGGAGATCAGCTAAATCTTGCTGTTCTGGGATGTGAGTGGGATTGAGCTTTACTGGTCCATATGTGAGCCTGGCCTCTGCTTCTAATGGCCGGCTTTGCTCTGAAACCCTTCGCTGACCATTGGTTCCTACCCTTTCTTTCCGTTTCACGACTCGACCAGACTGCTGGGTTCACTTAGGTTCTCATCTCCTCTTACAGATAAAATCATTAGCCATGTGAACGCCGTGTTTGTGCGTGGTGTAAAAATAATATCAGTCTCAAAAGACAACAGAGGAGGCTTTTAGTAGCTGGTGAAGTAGACGGTCATCAGTGGACCCCGCTCATCCCACGTGACCATGTCCACAGCTTTAAAGAAGCCGCTCATCAAGAGGAAAATGGCCTGAGAGGTGGCTGTCTTCTGATTGGGTACTGCCATGGGGTTTATGTAAGATCCTAAAGCTCCTGCTGCCTCAGTGTGCTGTCCTCCAGGTCAAGCTGTGTCCAGTATGGCTGGAATAATTCAGAAGATCTTCAGCAGGAGACTTGTAGGAGGGATTTTTTTGTACAGGACTATGTTGGAGGAGACAGTGTTTCGATCGGAGAAACTTAGAAACATGGAGATACAAAAAAAATGGCGATCCCCCATGTGTGTGTGTATGTGTGTGTTGGTCCATTGCTGACTCAGGTCTGCTGTAGGCATTTGATTAGTCAGCCGTTTGGGGGCGGGGGGGGACAGATGTTGCTGTCTCTGCTGTCAGCATTTTATGCTTCCATACACCTTAAAGACCAAAAGAAAAAAACACAAATGACCAAAAAATCATGTCATAATAACTGACTTTTATTTTCTTAAGAAAACGCAATTAAATGAATTCTTGATCTTTGACCTATTTAGTACTTTTGGGCGGGTGAGTCATTGTGCACATGGTACGTTAGAAAGGTTGCTGTCCTTTTCAGAGGACTGATTCTCAATCTTGTTGCTCATCGTTTGGAGACATAAATATTTGACGTTGGTCTTATTTAAGATCAAATGTTTCACTTCTGTCAATAGTTTGCCGATTGTTGAGTCATTTGTTGTTAGGTTTGGACAAAAAGGACAAAATAAGATTCCCATGTGGCCCATCCTGCAGACTTTTTGGGGGCTTTTCATTATTTCCTGATTTATTTAGTTTATTTAACACAAATCGGCACCATTAATCAATAGAATCTGGTTGGAACTAAAGAAGTTGTTCAAAACTGTATTCTGTCTACATTTAGGATCTATATGTAATCTTTCATCTACTTACATGGTTAGACAAGTTTATGTGGCGATTCAGGACTTGTTGGATGTGAAATCGTGGCTTCTTGTGTGAACTCGCTGCCATCCTCCACCTTCACATCCATTGTAAACGGCCTCTTCCTGTTTCTGTTAGGTTGAGAAATGCTGAATCTGCAAAAGCAGAAGTCACCGTGTGACCGAAAACTGCCTGTGAGAACTCAGAGTTCCCTCTTTCTTTAGGTATTTAGGTCTTCAGGTCTTTAGGCAGGTGTTTTTTTTTTTTAAATGTCACAATAAAGACGTGCTGTTTTGGACTAATTTAACTCCCCCACCCCCTCCACATGTGATTCTCCTTTTGCTCCTCCGCTGGCATTTTGACAAAAAAAACAAAAACCCCCTCCAGGTGAGCGAGGATCTGTTTTCCAGCGACTCCTCTTTTGGGCCTGTATTTATCCGTTCCCCTGGCAGTTTGTCAGAGGCAACAGCCTTAATGGAGCGCGGGGGTACAGAAATAGACGCCACATGAACTCGCTGGACTGTGTTTACAGATCCGGCAGATGGAGGGAAACTGTTACGCAGGTCCCGCCGCCGTGCACGGCCTCGGCTGCCACTATTTCTGGTGCCTGTTTACCGTGTATCGTGTTGAATGTTCTCCGGATGGTTTTACTTTTCTAATCGCGTATCCGTATCAGTATTTTCCGCTTTTTAAGATAAGGTCAGCTCCCTTTTAATTCTACTTGTCAGCAACACATCTAAAAAGCAAGGTGGACGCTTCCCTCCATGTTGGAAAAAGCGGCCAATCAGAAAGCAGTATCCTCCCGAAAGCACATGCTCACAGCGGTGATTTGAATCTGTCTTTTCCAGTGAACGAGCACCTAAAAAATATATTTCGTCCATTCTTTTTTGGTTCAGAAAACAACTCCAGTCTCAACATGACTAACGCGTCCACCTCGGAGCCGGACAGCACGGAGGAGCGGCTGACCATGAACGACTGGCCCATCTGCAAAGACCAGGACGAGATGCTGAACCTGGCCTTCACCGTGGGCTCCTTCCTGCTGTCGGCCATAACTCTGCCCCTGGGCATCGTCATGGACAAGTACGGGCCGCGCAAGCTGCGGCTGCTGGGAAGGTGAGGTCAGGGGAGGGACGTCTGACCATCAGAGGATTATAGTCCGATATGGGAAAAAAAAAAACGTTCATAATCGTGAATTTCTTGTTCCCAGCGCCTGCTTTGCCTTCTCGTGCCTCCTCATCGCCTACGGAGCCAACGATCCTAACAGTATGTACCATCTTACACCCCTTTAACCCTATAATGCCAAATGTATCATATTTGATACATACGGTTTCTAAAGTCTTTTAGATCTGAGACTTTTTGCATCATTCAATGGTAAAAGCTTTGCTCAAACCCCTCTTGCACACATTCCGATATACCTGATAATAGCCAGTAGAAGATTAAATCATTTCCCTCTGGGATTATTAAAGTATTTCTGATTCTGATTCTGATTCTGACTACACGAAAATATATTTTTGACTTATTGCATGCTAATTTGATCAAAATAATTAGTTTTTTTTATTCATATGTTGTTGAGGGGCCAAAGAAAGACTTCGGTCTAAAAAAAATCCAATATTCTTCTCCCTGTTTTTCTTGGATCAGGCTTTAAAGGGTTAAATGCTGCTTTATATTCCATGTCTGATGTGTGGCTGTAGACCCTGAATCTGTAAATCCGGAGTCGTTGGGTCGTTTGATCTGGGCTTTCTCTTCGTCTTCCAGATCTGTCCATCCTGATCTTCTTCGCCCTGGCGATGAATGGGTTCGGAGGCATGTGCATGACGTTCACCTCTCTGACGGTGAGTTTTACCAAAATGACGCTTTGGGCCCAAACGTCTTCCCTTTAGTGATGCCTGTTGAAGTAGTCACTGTGGAATGAATGGATTTGACCATTGATCTTCAATTCAGTTAGATTTAAAATACTTTAAAAATCCCTGAATATATATTGTTGCAGTAATGTTATTATTAAAGATAATCCACTGTAAAAACAAACAAACATACTAATGAACTTTAAAGGGCTAACATGTAAGCAGGTTAAGTTCTTAATTGACTACTTTTATCACTTTTTTTACAGTAAGAATGATTTTTTATGATAAAAAACAAATACACTTGGCAGCAATAAGTAATTTTTTATAAATAGATTAAGTTGTAAATTAATACTAATGATAATAACAAGCTGGAATTAAAGTAAGGGGCTCAGATGGGCATGGGACAAACAGACATTTAGCGAAAACGGATAAAACTAAAGGTGGCTGGGAGGAAGTGATGTGCACAGATGTGTGGGGTAGTGAGGGTTAGAGCTGATAAGCAAAGCCAGAAGTTTGAATGATGCATTACAGTAGACGACATGGGAAGAAGACACAGAGATTTGTTAGAGAAAAAGTGGTCTTCGGTGGTCTCTTATTCTGATTCTGCTCTGATTGAAAGCCCCACATATCCTCTTTTCATCACCACTGATTCATCACTAGGACACGCACGTTTGTATTTACTGTGTGTGTTTTGTTATCATTGCAAGTCTAAAGATGTTGAATTGTTGGAGGAGCTCAGTGGGGTGTGTCTGTGTGTGGGAAGGGTGGGAGGTTTCTGTTTTTAGAAAGTGAACCGTCTTTGTGCTCCTTTATTACCACATAGATGGCATTTCTATCAAGAGTGTCAGTAGCTGGCTGGACATTTTGTTTCTTTAAACACACACACACACGCAGACACACACACACAGCAGAGACAGGCAGGGGTGATAAGAAACAAACAGGAAGCTTCAACAAAAGTGTGTGTCTCTGTCTGTGTGTGTGTTTCCCCAGCCATTTTGCCGTTTCCTATTCGAGATTGTCTGTTGAGACCCTGCGTTACACACATGTGAGCCCTCCCCCCCCCCCCCCCCCGATGTTACGGCTAGGTGTGTGTTGGACTGCTCCGGTTTCGGCCGCCCTCCCGGTTCTGGAAGCGGGCCAACACACACCTCGCTGTACGGTGCTGTGTGTTCCAACGTGTGTTTCAGCCGTGGATGGCCTCTAACTGCCATGACTGAGAGGTGGAGCTTCACAAAAGTGGAGCTTCTATATGTCGGTCTGTGTGTGTGTGTGTGGGTGTTCACACGTGTAGGAACTTTCCATTCACATTCACTTCCTGTATTTTTTTAAACGTATATAGCGTTGAACAACATAAAGAACGGTTGTCAGAGAGATGGGTAGGTAGGGTGTGGGGACGCTTCCCTCCGGCTTTTTCCCTCCCAGAGGTTCCCAGAGAGGAGACGGCTATGACAGGAAGTGTTGTGACCTTTACGTTTTTGGGGCTGCATCACTGGGAAAAACTCTTTGAACTCGAAAACTCGCTTCCTGTGCTCATTTCCAACCATATTTTTCGATTTCTCATCTCCACCGGACTTTCCTCTCACGGTTTAAAAGCAAACCCGGTGACTCAGCGTCGCTGGAAAACTGGGATTTAAAATGTGGAGTATTAGCATTAGATAAGAGAAAGACTGGAGGGGCGGATTTTTTGCCCCCCCCCCCCTTTTTTTCCCTCGCGTTCTGCACACATAAACAGCATCACGTTACAGACAAGCCCCTCTCTCTTTCTCTCGCTCTCCCTTATTGAGCATACTTAACAGAGCTCTACACACACACACACACACACACGTGCCTATAGAGTCCATACAGTGTATCCACACCCACAAGGGCCACACCAGGCCCCTCCTTTTGACTTGTAGGTGGCACGTGTCGGAGCCTGCTCCGCTCCTGGGGTTTGTTATTCCAGCCCGGAGCTCTGCATGCAGCCTGCCTTTTGCCCAGAAAGGTGTGTGTTTTCCTTAGTCCCCGGTGTTTTTTGCATCTGACTGTGCGGAACATCGAAGAAGCCTGCAGCTGGCTGTGTGATTACCTTTCTAATACCATACTACCAACATACAGAAATGTTGTAGTTGGTAATGAACAGACTTCCTACTCTGATGTGGCATGGAAAGGGAAATAGAGACTATATTTGTAGGGTAGAGGTGGAGAAAATCTTTTTCATGTTCTGTTTACTAAGGGCAACCATCTAAAAATAGACGGAAAAAATGGAATGGATGCAGAGGGAAGATGAGCGTGAGCTGTACTGTTCTCATTTTTGAACTTGTGGATAATGTAAAGGCTTTGCGGGCGTAGAAGGGTGCCGCAGAGGATTTCTTTTCTTTTAGAAACTTAGAAATTATTCATTAAAAAGCGACTAAAACAGAAGCGATCTCAGGAGAGAGAATAGAGAGCTGGCATCGGGGTGATGGAGGCATGCATCTGCCGGTGTTTGCTGAGCTTCCAGCCCACTCCACTGCTTTTTACGACGGAAGGAGACAGGAACCGGTCGGAGCCGGTTCTGAGTGGGGCAGGGATACGCGCGGCCCAAGTTTCCACTTACTGCAGCGAAAAAAAATACCCTCCTTCCTCCTTTCGCTTCTGTGCTCTTTCCCCCCTTCAGATGGATGTGTCCAGTTTCCTCTCTTGTGACGGCTCGAAAAAAGGCTCGGCGTGGTGTTTTTTTTAACGCCCGCTCAGTTTTGGCGTTTGTCACGCCACGTTCTGCCCTTTCCACTTATTGTTTTCGAATCCTCGGCACACAGTGACTCACAGAATACAGGGTAGAAAAAACAAAGAAAAAAAGACCACGTGGTTGCAAACCGGTCCGGTGGAGGGGCCGGTTTCTGCCCGAGGCCCTTCTCAGGTCCCGAGACAAGGCGGGTCTCCGGCCCTGTTTGTCCTGAAAACTTTCAGCTATCAATCAACCACAGTCTTCCCCCATTTCCCGGCGGACATATTGGTCAGGTGTTAGTGAAGATGAACGGGCAGGTGAGGGCTGGTCGAGAACCACGTGAGCACGTGCCGTGCCTCGAAGGCGTTAGAGGCCCAGGTGGCACATTCCTGCCAAGATGGATGGTGTACCATCAAAACAAGCCCTCTGTTTTTGTGGGACTTAAACTGACAAACGGCTCATTTTCGCTGACAGTGCAGAACAGGTCGCGCTGCTTCTCTCTCACTGAATCAGTCTGGAGGGACTGCCCTGAAGTTTTGTTGACTTATGACTTTGATTGTGTCAGGTAACTGAAATAAGTTTTGTGATCCTTCTAACCCCCCCCCCCCCTCCCACAAGAGTAAGACCCCTCAAACTTATTTTATTTCCCATTTTTAGGTTGCTTCCATGCCATTACACAATTATAAGATATTTTCTCCTGCTTGGAAATAACAAGAACATTAAAACAGAAAGAAATTCTTAATATTTCTGAATGTATCCATGTACAATATCTGTCTGAAACTTAAAAGGTTGGAGGTTCCAGCCAGAGAATCAAATTGTAGAACCGGGTCAGACAACAATCTGAAAATACATCACTAGAAATCCCTTTCAAAGGAGTTTAATGTATTAGTTTAGACTATGTGAAAGAAATTGAATGCTGAAACAGAAATTGTGGTTATTACAGTCGTTTAAAGAAAAAAATCATAAAACTTTCTACCTTACTATTGAAAAAATACTAAGAGAAAAAAATAGTTATCCACCTGTTTCTATGCTCATGCATGTGAACTGTGTTAGAGTTCAGCTTTAGCTCTGGAATTTTTCTGCTGCAGAAGATGCTTGTTTTTGTCTTTTTGGCTGGGTGGGACGCTGTGGTTTGGTTACACCATCCTCAGGGAATAGCACATCCATCAATCCATCCATTTTCATAACCGCTTATTCCCTAATGGGGTCGCGGGGAGAACTGGAGCCTTTGATGAAGGAGCCTATCCCCACTAGCTCTTTTTCTTGGTAAATTTTTACTGTCAGTTTTACTGTCACATGACCAACACGTACAGAGGACCAGGATTAATGCTTTCCTGTCCCCTTCACTTTTGGTTTCACAAACAACAGAATAACAATTTAAAGTAGGACATTGAGGTGAAATTGGAAGCAAAAAAATGTGAGGTCACGAGCAGATGTCATTTTAATCTGATCTCAGCCTCCTGTTTCAGTCTGGACTCCTCGGTGTGAAATCCTTCAGGTATTTGAGGAGTTCCAGATTGTCTGTCCTTTACAGTTACAAACCGGTCCGTCTGGGTTATGGATTTTTTTGGCCCCGGCTGCTGTTATCTCCCATCAGGATGCTCACACACACACACACACACACACCTCGCACTGCTGAGCCATGAATCCACGTTTCTTCTCTCTGAGCAGCAGACCGGCCCAGACTGTCACGTGTCCTGTGAAAAGCTGTTCTTTTCAGCCGACTGTAGCCCAGAGAAAGTATCAGTGTGGCGTCAGCTCAGTATTTTTGCTCCGTCAAAAGATAAGCGTGGTCTTTCTTTGCTCTGATTGGCTCGGAGCGGTTCACCCCGAGACTGTGTTTTTTTTCCAACTATTTTGTTATTTTCTGTTGACATTTTTCTTTTATCTATCCAAAGAATAAAGAAAAAAAAAGAAAACACTCCAATTACTCTCCACTTTTTGGGGATTCTGACACAGTTATGATTTCACGCTTCCCACAATCTCTTTAATGACCTACATATCTTTTTAAAAAGGCCTGTTGTTACAAGTTTGAAGTTGAGGAAGTCATGGATCAGCAGTGGGAAACTCTGCTGACTCGGCATGCAGACAGAGTTGGTTTTGACTTGTTGTGACCCCTAATCTGCCCCGATTAAGGCTCCGTTAGCGCCGAATGTGGAGCGCTGCTGCAGAGAAAGTGGAGAAATCCGGGGGGGTCATTACATTTTATGTCAGGGCAGTGGCACAGGGATTTTTTTGGAGCTCACCTTTACCCTAATTTGTCCGGAACTGTGGCGTCTGTGTGGGGTTAGAGGGTTCAGGCAGCTGGCTAACAAGCCCCACTCCTGCGGTTAGCATAACGGCTGGATGGATAGCGAATGGATGGATCACGACAGTGAGTGAGGGACCGGAGAGAATTTGCAGAGCAGCGTTGCTATTTACGACCTATAAAAATTCTGTTGGTGACCATTTCCTGCCCAGATAACCCGTCATTCGCGTACCTTTTAAGATGGCATACATCACACAGATGCAGCTCGGCTTTTAGAAAAACAAAAGGTTTAAAACAGGGTCTTTAGCTTTTGGCCCAAATTGACAGTTTTGTTAGTTTTCAATTAAATAAGATGATAAAGCTGAGTATTTTGGAATCAGAGAAGCCCCAAAGTCAGTTAAAAAATCCCCTCTGAAAATGGTACCAACTTTTTTCTAATCTAAATGTGAAATTTCAGGATAGGTTGTCTGTACGATGTGGCAAGTGATTGTGACTGAATGTTCGTTTCACATTCAGCTCTGAGCTAACTGTGATGATAGAAATCCCACGGTCAGACCTTCACTGATCAGCTCTGGTTGCCCCTCTCTTTAGCTCCCCAGCATGTTTGGAGACCTGAGGTCAACCTTCATCGCCCTGATGATCGGCTCCTACGCTTCATCCGCCGTCACTTTCCCCGGCATTAAGGTAACAACTTTACTTTAACCCTAAATACGTAGGATACACTCCGGCTGGAGAATGGATCATTCATCCTGTATTTTTTTTCTCTATCAGGTGATCTATGATCTGGGAGCCACCTTCATCTCCATCCTGCTGGTTTGGGCTGGCTGTGCCTGCCTCGTCTTCCTCAACTGCTTCATCAACTGGCCACTGGAGCCCTTCCCGGGCCCGGAGGACATGGATTTCACGTAAGACAGGAACACGCTTCCCTCTGAGACGGGGAAATTCCTCTCTTCTGATGTTATTGGCTAACTTGGGGCTATATGCGTGTGACGTGTTCCATCTGAGTCCAGACCACTTGCATTTTCCTCAGAGATCACATGCTTATGTATTAAAATCTCAGAGTGAAAGAACTGAGCCCACTGAGCCCTAAAGGGGAAACGCCATAAAACCAGATGATCTGCCAGCTTTGCTCTCAATCACCTGAGTCTTTTCCTACATCCTGTGTGAACGTGTGTGTGTGTGTGCTGGGTTCTTCTCCTGTTTACTCCTGTAGAGAGACAGTGGTCTGGATGAATGCCGTTTTTTCTTATACACGCACCCTCACAACTGCTCTTCACCTTCCCTTTCGTTCTTCTTGGTCTCTCAGAGTGAAGATCAAGTTCAGCTGGCTGGGCTTCGACCACAAGATCACCGGGAAGCAGTTCTACCGGCAGGTGACCACGGTGGGGCGCCGCCTGAGCGTGGGACACTCCATGAAGCACGCGCAGCAGCCTCCCAAAGACCTGGCCACGCAGGAGGCCAACAAGCTGTGCCTCTCCACCGTGGACCTGGAGGTGAAAAGCAGGGGCCAGGAGGAGAGTAAGTCCCACCGGGATCGCCTAAGGCTGAACTTACTGTTTTTCCAAATCCCATCCTAAAAGTTGAGCTGTCATCCGGTATAGAAGGTTGGGTTGGTCATTAAAGGTGTTTTCTCCTTCTGATCATTAGAGTGGAAACGTTGCCCTATTGAGAAATCTTCTGTCTTGCAATAAGTCGAGATTAGAGCTCATTGCACCCGAAAGATTCGATAGCTCCACTGTTTCTTATGCCTATACGTTTTCATTTGAGTGCCCCGAAAGACGAGCTGTTCGAGGGGTTGTGGGTAAAATGCTCTGTGTCCGATTGGCCAGAGAGCTGTGCCGCTGCTAGTGTGGGGTATTCCACACTACCAGTCCACCCACAGATTTTAGGGGGCCATCGAAGTCAGCAAGCCCCCTTTTTAAGGCAGCTCAGCCATGTACAGTTCCACCGTCGACAGGTGTGAAGATCAATAAGATCAATTTTCCATCTTGAGGTTAGCTTGTTGTTTTTTCCGCCTATGTGAGAAGATTTTTCTGAGAATCATATATCCTAAAACAGTGGCAAAGAACCTTCAGTTCGGTCAGTAACTACAGTAACGATGGATTCAGATCCACTGCTCTGTTCTAACCCCGAAATAGCCCTTTACCTCTGGCCCACATTCATGCACAGGCCTCCCCTCTAACCTTTACACCTCCGGCCCTCTGCAGGCCTTCCTGCTTCTCAGATCTCTGGTCACTGTCAGTCACCCCTAGCAGTTGGCCCCTTTTTGCTTTTCTGGTACCGAACGCATCGTGAGACGGAATCTGGAATGTGTTCCTGGAAAGCTGCTCAGCTTGAAAGTGCTGTTGGGGGTTAGAGAATCAGTCGGTCCAAGTTTGTGTGCGAACATAGTGTGTCAGGGGCGCTTTAACAAGACCCAGAGTGTGTCTTTGCAAAGCTTTTTTCGCTGAGTCAGTGGAATCTGGTTCAGCTTTAGTGTCTGTTTGCCATCTGCGTTGTCTTCCGAGGTCTGCATGTCGTCATTTGAACTTTTGCTCCGCGTAAAAAACACACAATTCAAATAGCTGCACAAACACGTCAGTGGTCACAGTGTATCACTTTGGTATGTAAACACCACCGCTTACCAGCGCTGAAGGCTGAAAGGATTTTCGTTTCCTTTTCTTTGCCTCCGCTGAAGCGGTTTCGTGTGTAATTGCCGGGATCCAGCAGTGCGTGACTTAAAGTGCTTTTAAACCGTTCCAGCGCAATGTGACCCAACAGCTCATATAATTAAGTCAGTGATACCTGTTGGTCAAGGCAATAAAGTCATCTGCTCCATCTGCCTAGAGGCCCTTTGTTGACCCATCTGCTACTCCAGCGTATGGACAGATGTGTCCCTTTTCCCTTTTTACTCATCGGGCTTATTAATGATCAACTTTTCCTAGAAACTGGCCTTTCTCTACACACACACACACACCCCACCGCTGTGGTTCTAGTTCACGTTAACACATGTTAGCCCAACACCCAGCAGCCTTTGGGGACATTTAGATGGAATAATACGATAGTATCCAAGTATTTAGACCTCCAGTTGCTGTTGTTGTACCCGAGATGGCGAAACCGCAGCACGCCGCTGTAGTTCGCAAACACCGAAGGCAGTTTAGATGATGAAACCGGGAAGAGTTCAGACATGTTCGGACACGGGCCTCCATGTAAAGCAGTTCAGGCACCGCTTATTGTGTAGAGCCGTACTTATCAATGTGTGGCTGGTTTTGATCGGCTCCACCGGACTGCTTTAAAGCTCTAAATCTGATGATTTATTAAGACCAGATTTGGCAGAATATGATTGGGTCTGACAGCTTCTATAAGTGATTTACATTTATTTGTCTCATGGACAATTGAAAAGCTTCTTTTTAGACAAACCGTGACAGGTTTTGAAGCTTGGTAACCGAAAGCTGCGTAGTTCAACTTTGATTTTCCAGTCATGTGATCTTTGGATGTGAACGACAGATAAATGTTGGGTCATGGAGGAAGAGATGAGATGAGATGAGATATGAATGTTTTCCTTCAGAGTCACTTATGTAGAGCAGGCTCACTTTATGTGGTCAAGCCTGTTTTTTCAGCATTGGGGAAACCAAAAAAACCCCCATTTAAACTAACGATATCCACAGTTTACAACAGCAGCACTGAGAAATAGAAAAACACAACATAACCCTGAAGCTGTGATCAGAAAAGAGATACAATTCTGTTATATTACAAAGATATTAAATCCAGCCCTGACTCATCTTGTCTCCTGTCCTACTTCCTCTGCAGCTCAGTCTTTCTTGAAGAGCATCCTCAGTCCCATTTTCATGCTGAGCCTCATCACCATGTGCGTCACCCAGCTGCGGCTCATTTTCTACATGGGGGCCATGAACACCATCCTGGAGGCCCTTACGGAGGGAGACCTGAGCACAGGTGTGTGTGTCGTCATTTGCAGGGTGGGACTGGGGTGGACCGGAGAAGAAAAGCACAGATGTTGTTTGTTTCGTGAGCCGTAGCCTTCTTTCTTAACGCCTGTTTAACGTCCCTGTCATGCTGGCTTCTTACTGCTGATGCAGTGGAGAGGATGCAAGTGGGTAAGAGACCTGAGGACAGACCACCCACCCACATTCATTCCCCCCCCGCCCCCACCCTGTCCCCTGTCGCTGTCTTGTCTAGAGCATGAGGTCTGGTGCAAGCCGTGTGGTCACAAACCCAAAGTCTCATGACAACCCCCTACGTTTTGCTTGGTTCCTATCAGTGACAGCCCATATCGCATTTACATTTTTTTATACCTTGTTTTCTATTTTTTTTACTCATGGCGTAATGCGATCATATATGAACTGTGGGCCCTTCTGTCTGTGTCTCAGTGAGCGTGTACACCTCCATCTTCGGCGTGCTCCAGCTCTTGTGCCTGGTCACCTCTCCCATGATCGGCTACGTCATGGACTGGAAGCTCAAAGACTGCGAGGACGAGAACGACAAAACCGTCAAAAGGTCGGCGACCCTGGCGTTTAGAGCGTGACCAAACGCAAGACCCAAGAGGCCGAGCTCAACGTGATCTACTTTTATTTATTTTTTAAAAATCTCCACAGGGAGCCCGGCCAGCCTCGCCGGCCCACCAAACAGATCCAGAAGATCGTGAACGCCACCCGAGCCTTCATCTTCACCAACCTCCTTCTGGTCGGCTTCGGGGTCACCTGCATCGTCCCCAACCTGCCGCTTCAGGTACGATACGGTAAACGTGTGGTGGGAGATCGGGAGATGGGGGAAATGCGTCCGTTCTTTGGTCCCGGGGAGGCTCACGTTTCCCAGCATGTGCTGCGGCAGCCCCTCCTAAGGAGAGCTCCCACTGCAGAGGAGGCAGACTGAAATGAACACAATGTTCAAACTGGACACATCCTCAAAGCGATGCGGTCTCTGAAATTCTCAGAACTCTGCTGCCACCTACTGGACACAAATGGCACTGCATGCCCCATCTTATTTTTACTTGATTTAGTTCTGGGTCTAATTTTTTACCAAGCCGGTTCTTTTTAGATACAGACCCGCTGTGATCTGAGGTGATAGACAGTAGGAAATATAATCTTTTTTGTTTGTTTTTTTTCCCAACAGATTCTGTCCTTCATCCTGCACACTATCGTCAGAGGCTTCATCCACTCGGCTGTGGGAGGTCTATATGCTGCCGTGTAAGTGTGAGACACGATGCCAAATCTAACAATACACACTGGCTGTAAGGACACTCGGCATTCTGCTCCATCAACATTTTCTGCAAGATTCTGGAAGCAATGTTCCAGTACATGAACACCCGCTGTATTGCTGCATGGGGATAAGATGAGCTAAGGTTGTTTTTTATATCGGTATCTGGTTACACTTAATAGCTGGGTGGCTGTCTGTAACACAAATTCCATCAAGGCAAGGCAAGGCAAGCTTATTTGTATAGCACATTTCATGTACAAGACAATTTAAAGTGCTTCACAGAGAATTTAAAAGCAAAAATAATGAAAATTAGACAGATGAAAGGTGAAGGGTGCAGATAAAATACGTTCAATTTTCCATCTGCACAGTTAAACAGAAGCATTTTCAGCCTGGATTTAAACAGTGTCAGAGTTGAAGCCTGTCTCACATCTTAAGGAAGCCTGTTCCAGATTTTAGGAACATCGAACTAAAAATGAAGCTTCACCTTGTTTAGTTCTGACTCCGGACACTATCAGGAGACCAGAACCTGAGGTTCTCAAAGTCCGATCTGGTTCATATGGCTCTAACATGTCAGAGAGGTATTTCGGTGCCTGCCCATGAAGAGACTTTTTTCACAAGCAGAGCTGTTTTAAAGTCTATTCCCTGAGTGACAGGAAGCCAGTGGAGAGCACTGAACTGATATGGTCTTATTTCCTGGTTTCTGGTCAGAACTCTAGCAGCAGCATTCTGGATGTTCTGCAGCTGTCTTAACAAACTGATAGAGGAGTAGGAACTGTAAAACTGTAGGAACTGTAAAACCTCAGACTGAGGGGGGACCACTAAAACCACTGGGACCCCCTTAAGGAAATTCAAGAAAAACGATCTCAGACTTGTCACGTGACGGCTCATGGGTTTTTTTGTCCCTCTCAGGTACCCGTCCTCTCAGTTCGGTAGCCTGACCGGGATGCAGTCCCTGATCAGCGCTCTGTTCGCCCTGCTGCAGCAGCCTCTCTTCATGGCCATGGTGGGGCCCCTGGAGGGAGACCCGCTCTGGGTACGCCAACGGCCCGCCGCCGCCAACCGACTCCAGTGCGATGGATGGCCGCCCGCTCATTAACCGTTGTGTCCCCCCCACCCCTCCCTCTCTGCCCGCAGGTGAACGTGGGGCTGCTGGTGCTGAGCATGCTGGGCTTCTGCCTGCCCCTGTACCTGCTGTGCCACAGCCGCCACCTGCGGCGCCTCCGGGACGAGGCCGACGAGGACCCCAAGATCTACGTCAAGGCGAGCGATGGCGGCGAGGGCGGCGCCCCCGAGGCCTGCGTGTGAGGACCAGGGGGGGCTTCCGATCGGCTTCCGACTGTGACCCACGTGAACATTTCATTCGCTCCGAGGCCGCGGCGGCTCAGAGACCCTCCACACAGATACACCGTTTTTTTCCCCTCAGACACACAACCGTTATCTGTGGCGTGGCCGTACACGATGTCTCACACACACCGCGACGGCGACACAATGGGAAACGCCGTCACACCCATTTTCACCCCCCCTTCCTGGTGTTCCGTGAAACAACTGACACTAGAGGAGCAGGGGCCGTAACAGACAGAAGGAGAGGGCTGCGTACATCTTCCCCTCGGATCGTCCGATGCCGTTACACCCCCCCCCCCGAAACCGACTCCACCTCGACCGCGCCGTTAGAAGATGAAGAAAGTTGCTTCCTGCCGTCTTTCGTCGAAACTCAAATGAGATTTGTTTGGTGACAGTGCTGGTCCACGCTCCAGAAACTTCCAGAAACCCCAGAAAGCATTTGCTCTCCAGCTGATTCGTGGAGCCTCTCGCTCGACTCGATTAGTTCTTATTTCTGTGGAAGACATCTGTGTAGATACTCGCACACACACACACACACACACTTTTTGTTGGAAGCATTTGTCCCGTTGATGCCATCTCTGCCTCCTTATGTGTTGAGATGGACGGCGGTTCAGAATGAAACCCACACTGTGAGATTAGAAGTTAGATACTCTGATAGTCCAGAGAATGCTGCAGCATCCTGAACATCTGTGTGTGTATGTGTGTGTGTGTGCTGATAGACGAACACTGCATGAGCCCCGGGATGACATTGGTCCTTGATTCCTTACCGCGTTTTGTTTCTCTATCCAAAGGCTTACATCCTCCAACCATTTTTTAAGTTTACTTGCGGTTAACTTTTGCCGCTCATCTTTGGTCTAGTGAAACAAAGAGGAGATTGTGTTCAGAGGAGGTAAACAGGAAACTGTCACGTTCAAGGTTGGAGGGGTGTCTCTCCACAGAAATTTGGAGTTCATTTTAGCAATAAATGCTATGAGGTGCTGGACACTGGACATTTACACAAACACAAGCAAAAGCAAAAGGCTTTATGGATTCTGGTGCTAGCTAAATAGCAATCAAGTTGGCATTTAGCTTAAAGGTGCTACTGAGGGGACTCTTAGCAGATAACAAATTTTCATTTAACCACTCGAAACAACTCTTGTTCATCTTCGCAGGGTGAATTCCAAAGAACCGGTTAGGGTTTGCTCTATTGTTTGTTGTCTTTGAACAGATTTGTTAGCGAAAAAAACACAGCAGCACCTCAGGAGAAATGTGACTATACATGTCGCCGACAGAGTGGGGGGGGGGGGGGCTTGTTTGAAGGTAGCAGAGGGATAGACGCATTGTTCCAGGTTCTGAGGAAAATGGTGTTCACGATAGGACGAACACACACACAGTGTAGATCCTTCATCCATCCATCCAAGCATCTCTTTGTTGCTTTCCATCCGATCCACTCGCAAACCCCCTTTTTTAAAAGTTTCCCGGTGACAGAGCTCAGAGACAAGCCTCCGCTGCCCCCCCATGCTCCCATCAAGTAACCGAATGGCACACGATGCACTTTAGAGCCCTGAAATTGACCTCAAGTCGAGTATTTGTCGAAAGCACGTCCTCACCCCGTCACAACCAGTGCATGAATCATGAATCCATGCACAATGCAGAGAATGTAGACCCAGAGCTTTGGATGTAGATATGTATCTAAACGCAGGAACCGAGAGAAGAGTTTATTTTTTTATACATGGGATAGAAGACTTTTTGCCCTTTCTTTGTGAGATTGCCTTTGCGTGCATGGACGGAATATCAAAGACTTGTCTCTGAGTTCTGACACCTTCAGAAGGAAAAACACACAAGCATGGCCATACTGAGCTATATTCTTAAGTTTGTTTACAGGCAAAGGGAACTGTAAGGGCCAAGATTTGGGAAGAAATAACTTGCTGGAAAATGTAATAATAATCATTTGGACTAAAGGGTGCATTCAGAGATAATACTTGTATTAATATTTTTTCATTTCACATCGGCGCATCATTCCCAAATGGCAAAAGGCAATTTGGTCTGGTTGAACATGTGATTTTTTGGGTCATACGTGTAGGTCTCAGGGTTTTCTGTAGCAAACTCTCACAGTGTATGGAAAATCAGTACCACTTTACCCTCCAAAAAACGACAGACTGACACAATTCCACACACTTGTGAAATACTGAAACTTTAATTGCGATGCACAATGTTCCACCTGTAAATGTTCGGATGTTTTCGGTTTTCATGTCTCACCCGTCAAACTCTAAAGTGGACATGCCTTTTCCTTTCCTTTTGACCCATCCTGGACTCACTGTCCACAGCAGCGTCCTGATGGGATTTACAGGACATTGTCCAGTCTAACATGTGACAAATGAGCTGGGCTGGAAGAGTTCATTCCCTAAAAATGGGAATCATTCAGCACTTTGGTGTACTGTACTGTCCTCATCTGTCCCCATCCTGCTGGAACAGGGGTTCCACAACTGCCCGCTTTATTGGTTGATGCATTAATGAATTGTTTTCTTCTGATTTGTCTTTAGTGTGCCAATCTTGGATTGCTGTTGTTGTTGTTACGCGTGATGATTGGAAGACAGTTTGAGCTGAAGGCATCTGGTTTTCACTCACCTGTAATTCTTGTTTTTTTACATTATTTTTTAATGTCTTTTACAGTGTTTTTTTTCTTCTTTGAAGTTTATACGACTATATATTTTTTTCCGTACCACTGTATAGCCACTGTCAATTACTTTTCAAGATGTCTCTGTTGAAAATGTGAGTATCTGAAACACAATAAACAGTCTTTTGTACATATGTCTATTTTTTCAACCCTTGGCAAAAAATAGGGAGTCCTGAAGGATGTTCATATTCCTGTTCATAGGATGTGAACATTCTGGATATGTTTAACAAAAGATTAAGATATATTGTCACTTTTTTTGTAAGGTCCAGATTATGGAATTGCTCTGGTATTTGCATGCCAAAGTCAGTCCTCAAGGGCCGCTGTCCTGCAGGATTTAGAAGTTTTCCTGATTGTAGAAAGATTTTGAATGGGTAAAATCTTTAAATAATTCGAAATGATACTTCTTTCACCTTATTAATCAACATGTATCTGGTAAGTAAAATCCAAATCAATTAGGGTAAAGTGAGGATTTGTTTTATGTAATATGTCCTTATTCTTCCAGATGTTATATCTGTGCGAAGGGGAAATTATGCTTGTAAATCAATGACCGAGACAAACTTCTGTTTATAAAAAATTGGAGAGTTTTGGGGAATTTTCCTATATTATAATTGTAAATTTAAGCCCTGTGCAGGTACTTGTGAAAGAGGTTCGAAGTTGAGTGCCTGGCTTTTTCAGAAGAAAGTTGAGCGGAAAGGCAAAGCTGGGCATCAGAACAAGGATAGATTATTCAGGCAGGAGACATCTGGCATAGGAGCGGGTTAAAAAGGAGAAGCTAATTTAGGGTGGGTTAAAGAGGACAAACACAGTCAGGACAAACCCAGTCAGGACGGGTTAAAAAATGACAAACCGAGTCAGAACGGGTTAAAGAAGAAAAACCCAGTCAGGACAAACCGAATCAGGACGGGTTAAAAAAGGACAAACTGAGTAAGGACGGGTTAAAAAAGGACAAACCCTGTCAGGACAAACCGAATCAGGACGGGTTAAAAAATGACAAACCGAGTCAGAACGGGTTAAAGTAGACAAACCCAGTCAGGACTGGTCAAAGAGGACATACCCAGTCAGTACAAACCCAGTCAGGACAGGCTAAAGAGGACAAACCTAGTCAGGACGGGTTAAAGAGGACAAACCAGTGACACCGTTGGTAAAACAATTAGAGATCACTGGCCAAAGAAATCTAAAACACGTCTTTTGTCAGCTTAAGCACAGTGGATGGCAGCCACTACCTCTACAGGAAAAACGTGTTTATTTTTTTCTTACCTACGGATTCTGAACTCATTCTTCAGGGCTACTGTGCATCTCTGCACAGGACAAGAGGGTTCAAACCTTTCTTCAGCTCTGTGACATGGCCAAACATGCAGTCTGGGTCTAAAATAAAGGTCCACAAAAACAAGATCAAATAGAGGGACACAACAAAAGACCAATGAGTTTTCAGCATTAATGGAAAAATGGGTTTAAGACGATCTTGTCCTCATCTTCATGGAGTTCCTCATCATCAGTTTACGCCATGGAGCTACACTACTTTTCCTGAGCAGCAGGTGTCAGACTCACGTTAAAAATCGAGCTTGGGGCATCTAAATGACAGCATTCATCCCGCTCCATTCCCCACAGACACAGGGGAGTGACTTCTACTGCTAAACCTGTTGGACGACGGCCAATTTCCCCTAAGTGAACAGACAACGAGTCACCACAAAGAAGCAGGTTCAACCAGAGCTCCTCCTTGAACTGGTTTTGTCCAAACTTCCACACTTGAACCTCCTCTTGCTAAAATAATCAGTTTGACAGATACAAACAAAAATCAATAAATAGATTCATAATAATAAATTACAAATGAAAAACATTATTCCGCAACTGGGGGCATAGAAAGGATTCCAATTGGTTGTCGTTAGTTTTCTGATAATTTAAGTGCTACCAGTGGAACTGGTTGAAGAAGCCTGCTGATGTAACTGGTCGAGAATGTCCCCACTGGACTAACAGCGTGACAAGGAGTTACCTGAAACTAGGTGGGTGTCTCCTGTTCCTATACGCCGCGCCCCTGCGCGCACAGACGGCATCAATCAGGAAGACGGAGGCTCCGCCAGAGCAGTTCATGAACTTCTCCCGGCGGGCCTACCTAGTCTCTCTTCTTTTTTGCAGTTGTTTGGACGGAAACACACAGTCGACATGCTCATTAAAGAATTGTGAGTATTTCTTTATTTTTTTTGGTTGCCTTCGCTTTGACGCGTAAAACGGCCGCTTGTTTGGATCACGCGTTTGGAACCTCTCCGGGCTGTTTCCTGTCACTTAGAAAAACCTAACCTGGATACAAACCTGTGTGTGTATGTATGTGTATGTGTGTGCGCGTAAGGGGGAAAGCTACGGGCTGCCAACATGAGCCTGGGTTTTGGGGGGGCAGGAGTCAGGTTATGGTTCGCGTTCGACTAAAACGCCTTTAGGGTTCAGAAAAACGCGAGTGGGGACGAAGTAACCCGGTGAAACGTGTTTTCTTTTAACGTCACGCAAGCGATCGCCGATTTTGAACTGAAAGAATGAATGAGGGCGCGTATTTTCCCCTCCCTGTGCGGCTCCGGGTCAGGCGCAGGCTGTCATCTGACCATGGAGCAAAGTGCACTCCCAGGCCGTGCCGTGCCGTGCCGTGCTGGGTCCCTGTGCCCAGGAAGGGATACAACACGGATCTTTTAGCCAGGCGTATTTATTATAACCTGAAAAAAATGGGCTTTTGGCCGTGGGCTAAGTGACCAACAACTAACCCTTTTTTTTTTTCTCATCCCACTAACCATGGAAGGCTCCTCTTCCATTCTTATCTGTGCTCATGAAATATTCACACCCTGCTAGTCTTCCAACAGTTGGTGAATAACTGACAAATGCATGATGGCTCAGAGAACACACACTGACACACACCTACACACACACACACACAGCTTCTCCTGTGTCATCCAGACCTCTCTGCTCTTCCACCTGTAGTCTCTTTAGGATTCCCTCTTCCTATGGTGTCTGATGACAAACGCAGGACTACTTTTTTTTGTTTTTTGTTGCTCCATTGCTTATTATTACATATATCCGTGTTATTAGTGCACCCGGAGTTCAGCCTCTGATTGAATCCCCACTGATAAAAGCACCTATTGTTATCAGTGCTTCCTTTGTGTCTCATACTGACCGTGGCCGAACACCTCTGGACTGTTTGCTGGTCATGTCTCGTACGTAAAAAAAAAACGGGGTTTGGCTTTGATTAGTCTGAGGAATTCTGATGTACTGGGCCGGGAGACATTTAAACACAAACAAATGCAATCTTTACTGTTTTTCAAATCTCCTCAAAAGGGAGAAAAAGCTTCATTTCAGAGTTTGAACTGTTTCTTTAAATAGATTTTTTCCCTAATTGATGCCAGTCCAGGTAGATAGTGGGACCTGGTGTCGTCCCTTTGCTGTTAACAGGGTGTGTTTGTGTGTGTGTGTTCTGTTTCCTGACTGATTGCTTTTTTTTTTTCTCCCTCTTTCTCACAGCCGAGTCGTCCTGCCCGTATCGGTGGAGGAGGTGAGGACTCATTTGTTCCCTTTTTAATTTGATCTGCGATAGGGCCTGATTATTGGACAGAGCGTGCGTGTTCCGTGTTTAGATTAAACAGTCGACTTCTTCGCTCTCTTATCTGCCGTCTGTTTGCTCTTCTCATTGGCTCAAACTCTGACGCCTTACAGTCCAGGGTATCCACGCTCTTCTCTTTTTTGGAAACACAGTGACGTCATATTTGAGGCAGTTAAGCATCCCGTTTGTAGAGATTCTGTATTTTCATCCCCTTTGTGCTGCTACTCAGTTTTCCTTGGCGATGGAGTCAAATTTCCACAGCGGCTGACTGAAAACTGACAGTCATCCCTCAGTGTTTCAGGCAGAGTGTGGCTGCCATACAGTAGCACCTCGTATCAGTTCCAGAATGCCATTGTTCAGACCTTTGAGAGCAGCTCCCCCCCCTCTCCCCCCCACACTCCTCACACGTCTCGCTCATTATTGCATGTTGCGGTCCAAATATCACATCCAACACTGACCTCTTTGTTGTTTCCCGTTGCCTAACCCCGGAGCACAGGTCAGTGTTTCGCGCAACGCATAATCGAGTTTTGAAAAAAGCGTCCGGCTTTTTCTTCTGAATCCTCTCAGCGGGAGTAACTGTGTGGAAAATGGGCAACATCTTGTACTGGGTCAAGTGTGAATAAAGCAAAAAGCAAAAGCGTGGCCTGTTGTCTGTGTCCTCGATACTGTGGACCTGTTGAACGTGACAGTACAGCAGAAATGTGACAGATTTGAGCTGAATGTAATTGTTTAGTGGTATTTGAATGGAGAGATTAGTATTTTGACTATTTGAGAGAGGCATTTACCTCCTTATTTTCTCCTCATTGCTTAAGGTTTCTTGTGGGGGAAAAAAACATCCTGTTTGAATACTTATTTAAAATTGAAATGTGTCACATTTAAGTCTTTTACAGCTTTCTGTGAGGAGTCTTTATTCACTTTAGATATGAGCAGAGTACTTAAAAAGCTGGTAGACACTTAATGTCCTTTTGTCTGCGTCATTTTGACGGTTATTCGTGAGTGACAGCAGCACAGGATTTTTAATCCAGCGATTCTTGTTGTCACAAAGCACCAGGAGCTCCTTTTAAACAGGAACGTCTTTGTCACCCGGCGTTATGACGTGAGGCGGTAGGGTTCCTCTGATAAAGCCGATACTCTGCGTGCTCGGCCCGAACATGTAGCCGTTTTTCTTTTCGCTGCGTTGATTGTGACGTGCGGACGAATGTTGCGTTCCCCTCCTCGAGCTGGCGGTGTCTAGCTGCCTTTGACAACGAGTGATAAGGCGCACTGGTTCTACCAGGCAAGTCGCATTCCTGAGTTCCTGCCCAAAGCCGCGCATCCACCGGGACCAAAATAGGCCACGAATCTGGATCAACAGGCCCCAACTAACCGCCACGCAAAGCTCAACAGTCCCAAAACTTAATGAGAAGGAGACACGGGGGCAGATGTTTGCATTCCCATAACTTATTTTTTGACAAAAAACGGGTTCCGTTTGTCTCACAAGTATAATTGTGTATAGAACTAACAAGCCGACAACACACCCTTGACGTGAGTCACTTTTTCCAGTGGCCTAAAATGTTTTGCCTGACTCAGGAGGGGCCAGGGTCAGGGAGGAGGAAGAGCCGAGAGGGAACGGAGTCAAGAAAAAAAAAGCTTACTCTGCTGGTTTGGCCCTAAAGTCCGAATCCTGACCTTTTCTTTATTTTAGTTTTTTTTCCCCCTGTCCTTTCAGTGCTTTTAAAACGTTTTTTTCGGGGGAGAAACGTAGGTTTCATTAAGAGAAAGGGGTGTTTTACTTGTAATTTTAAGGCTTTCAAATGTTTTGGACTGTTTTCCGGCTGTTGTGGCTCTATTTCTCTGTTCCCACTGCTAGCCCACATTGGTCAGAGCCGGTCAGAAAACGACTACTAGCTGGTTATTGCTTTATTAGTGCAGTAGGAGTTCACGTTTATGTTCAAGTAAATGTGCACACACATGTCCGGGGACCACGAAGTGAGCAGCTTGTCCTCAGAAAGGGGGGGGAAAGTAATCTCCCTCTCCCCTTTTGGACATTCCAGTACCAAGTGGGCCAGCTGTACACGGTGGCAGAGGCCAGTAAGAATGAGACCGGGGGAGGAGAAGGAGTGGAGGTGCTGGTGAATGAGCCGTATACGAAGGATCAAGAGACGGGCCAGTACACCCACAAGGTGTACCACCTGCAGAGGTAGGCGCCTCTTCTGTCCCTGCGCTGATAAGCTGAAAGGATAAATCCCTTTATAGCAGCATTTGGAGCGCTTATTGCTGCCATTAGTAGATGGGATTCACCTTTTGTGTGATGTCAAAGGTCTCCAAAGCAGAACTTTGACATCTAGCAGGAGAAACTTTAAAGATAGATACTGTTATATTCCATTTAAAAAAAAAAAAAAAGCATCCCACTTTGATATGGTGTGGCCATCTTGAGAGCTTTTGCGGTGTATGAGTTATTTTGTGCTTTCCGATTATCTGCACAGCATACACATACTGACATGATGAAAATGTTAAAAACAACCCCTTTTTTTCCTGCAGCAAAGTACCAAACATTATCCGCATGATCGCTCCAAAAGGTTCCTTGGAGGTGCACGAGAAGGCCTGGAACGCTTATCCTTACTGTCGAACCAGTGAGTCCCCCCTATTCAGTAATAGCTTCTGCTTCGTCTGCTGAACAAAGAACACCAAACCTTAAATAAAAATGACAGTATTGAGATGTCAATTATTGAAATGTTGATTTATGCTTTCCTTTCTGGTTCATGGCATTCTCATCGCGATCCACCTCTTCCTCTGATGCAGTTCTTACCGTAAGTATTATTTCATATTTAGCCTCCAAATAAAATGAACATGTTCGTAAAAAAAACGGTGTTATTCTAAGTAAGGCGAGCTTGTGACACGCAGCTGTAAGTGGTCCTGCTCGTGGTTAACGTCCAATAACTGACCATGGTGGGTGAAAAGAGATGAGCTTATGTTCACGGCATGTCGGCCTGCAGCTGTTTTGTGTTTGCTCTCAGAACAATGATATCATGTCGACTGATCCCGTCGTGCATCTCCTCTATGATTACAGAACACCTACATGAAAGAGAAGTTCATGATTAAGATTGAAACGTGGCACAAGCCCGACATGGGGGATCAGGACAACGTAAGTCAAGATGTCTCTAACGTACCGGATTTACAGTTTTAACAACACATTTAGGGCTGAATTTGTTTTCAACGAGCCAGGTCACCATGGTAACTAAGGCTGAACGTGTGATCTTCTCTAGAGGATCTGTGAATGTTGGGCCGGACTGCTGGCGAAAGCAGACGCTTTTAACGGACCCATTTCCTTATAATATCCCAGACAGAAAAAAATCGGATTGAAATAGCATTTAAATGTAACCAGCATTAGTTCTAAAATCGCTCATTCCTGCTCCCACATGATTGCCATTAAAATATTGACCTGTTAGCCACTGTGTTCACAACTTGAAGTACGAATGCAGGCCAACACTTAATTGTCCAAATAACACTTTTTGAGGAATGTTTCCTACTCTCTGCACTTTATTGGCAGATGGTCAAAGCTCCAGAAAGTTTTTGGTCAAGTTCACAGCAGCATGGCCCTAAAAGTGGGAATGTCATGTTTTGCTGGTTGGCCAAAGGCTACCGATTGGCATCTTGGTGTTTAGCAGAACAGACATTTTACAGATTTAGTTTTTTTTTTAATTAACTGCTACAAGCAGGTGAAAAAATGAATGGTTTCATAGCTGCTAAATAACAGGATGTTGGCATATTATGGTGTCTATTCACGGTAACTCACCTGAGCAAAGTTAGACTGTGCGTGGAAGCGAAAGGTGGAGGCTGTGACTTCATGGATCATTGTCTAAATCATACAGATCAATTTCTCTAAGCCTCAGTACATAATGGGACTGAGTTCTGTGCTGATTTCCGGGCAAGAGCCGGTATGCTAGATTAAGTCAAAGTAAAAGTTTCATAAAAGCGTCTTAACTTTGTTTGGGAACGAAGCAGCTGGTTAAACCCTCATCCTGTAAAAGGACCTGTTCCCTATGTTTAGGAGTCCACCTGAACAGACTGAAAGATGAATGTTTTTCCCCCTTCCATTAGGTGCACGGTCTGGAGGAAAGCACATGGAAAGGAGTGGAAGTTATTGATATTGACATTGCCGACAACAGTGTCATCAGTCAAAAGGTAAGAGAAAGACGCCCTTTTTAAATAGCTCCCATCAGCTAATGGTAGGAAAGCATCCAGTTTGTGAATAGCTGTTTTATGTTTGCCACTGCTACATACTGTATGATGTATATGGACTCTCTTGTTTAGGACTACAAAGCAGAGCAGGACCCTGCCATCTTTAAGACGAAGAAGACGGGCAGAGGGCCTCTGGGACCTGACTGGAAGGTACCGTTCCTCCCACCACTTAACAAAGAGATTAAGTGACTGAGTTTAAAGTCCTGGAGATAAAAGTGTGCTCATGTTTTGTCTTTTTTCACTGCGTGTGTGCAGAAAGAACTTTCTAACAACCCCAACTGCCCACACATGTGTGCCTATAAACTTGTAACTGTTGAATTCAAGTGGCTGGGACTACAGAATAAGATGGAGAACTTCATTCAGAAGGTATACACTTGTTGTTTATAACAAAAAAAAAAGAGTATTTTTAGTTTATTGCCACCTGGTGGCCAGTACTTGAATTTCTGTTTTTGTGACACTGTACTTGGATCCTGACCCATCCATCCATTTTTTGTACCCATTTGTTAGAACTGAAAAGCATTTTAGGGCGAGAGGGGAAATATCTTTAAGGTCCAAGAAGACCAGTTTCTTTTATTCAAATTTCTAAGATTACTATGACCTGGATAACTGTGAATTTACACCGACGTATGACTTTTTCTTACAAACTTTCCAGGTGGAGAAGCGCTTGTTTACCCACTTCCACAGGCAACTGTTCTGCAGTATTGACAAATGGATAGATCTGACGATGGACGACATACGGCGTATGGAGGAGGAGACGAAGAAGGAGCTGGATGAGGTGACTGTGTACTGCATCATTCTTTTCTCCATCAACACTTTTCTCTTTTATTATTATTTTTTGGCAATTAGCAGCCTATCTTAGCTTTCTTTGGGCAAGATGTGTGATATTGGCTGTCCTTCACAAGGCCACATAGGAACAAACTACCACACATGCTCACATTAATTCTTCATCCTAGAGACAATTTATAGTTACCAAGGAAGGAAACTTTAGTACTCACACATACACGCGCATAGTCCACCAAGGGTTAAACGGTGCTAATGGGCAGGCCATGGTGCTCCTTTGAAAGAAACGGGAGAAACAAGATTAGTAAATTATTCTTAAAAGTCAGTACGTTTATATTTCTGCATTGACACCTAAGGCCTTGAGGCAGCTTTATGTAAAGAAGATAGAAGAAGTCAACTCATAATTTAGTGTATAAAACTTACCTGAGATACATCCCACCAATATTTTTTAATATCATTAAAGACCCTTGAAGATCTTTGAGCATGAAAGATTGTTGAAACACGTGCCCAAAAGTGTTTTTTGTTGTAATGGCAGTGGAATTTCTCATCAGTTCCCTCAAAGCAGTACAGGACGGACATTTTTCAATAACACGTTTCTCTTTGTCACAGATGAGGCAAAAAGATGAAATAAAAGGGATGTCAGTTGATGAGTGATGGGAAGTAACTTGTAAGTATCAAATTGTTTTTATGAGATTTATCTTTTGAAGTAAGTCATTGTGATATGATTTATTATGCTGTCCTTTTCAGGTCTCTTTTAAACTGGTGCATTTCATCCAGCAAGCTGTCACTCCACTTGTTGGACTTTAGGGAACTACAACTTCTTCCTCATCAAGAATACCATTCTGACATCCTAATAAAAATGCTCTTAATAAGAGCTCAGTGCTGTGAAGCATTTGTGCATATGTATGTACTAGATTTGAATACAACTACATCTGCTTAAAGTGTTTTTATAGGGGCAGAACGACCAGGGATCTTTATGGAGGATGGAAGTTATTTTGGTTTATGCTTATCTCCGTGTGTTTAAACATTCTGTCAAAGGTGGGGCTTTTGTTTTTAAAGCAATATTTCCAATTACAGTAATTTCTTGATGTTTGCATTTATTGGTGTGGCTTCCCTTTTTGAATTTGATGTTTACAGTGCTCGATGATTAATGCAACAATCCCACCAGTCTTCTCACTGTATTTGCAAATGTCACAGATATCCAGGGAACTGTTTTAGTGGTTATAGAAAAGAAAACCCCTTGTGTGTTTCTGGAAAGTAATTTTTGTTGTGTCTATTTTTCCCTTTTTGTATAAAGCACATATGTTCTCTTTTGCTGTTTGATAAAATCTTTCCATTCTTTAACATCTCTGTGAGCCATTCACTGTGACATGGTGGAGAGAATAAATGTTTATGAATGACATGAATACCAATAACATGAGAAGCTGAAAGTACAATTCTGGTCTGACTTGATTTAAAGTTGTTTTGGAAACTTTTACTTTTGGTTTGAGGCTTAGACTCTTTAAACGGCTCCTGGACTGAGTCCTGTCCAACTTGGATTTTAATGCCACAAAAAGTGTGATCTTGTCTTATATTAAAAGGGATTCATTCATCCATTTCTCCTGTATTTTGAATGGGTTGGAAAATGACAGTAAGAACAAGCGTCAGACTAAAGGATGCTTTGCTCGTTTTACGTTTTGTATCGTGCTGTTTGGTGGAACTCGACTGTTTGTGTGTGCGGCATTAGGAGCTGAAAATCAGCTTTTTGACATGTATTTAGTTACATTTAAACATCTAAACGTACGGCTGAAAAGGAAGTTCAGCGCTTGATTTTTATTGTGAAGGTCAACATTTTGACTTCCGGTTAGGGGGCGGGGACAACAACCACAACAAGGTAGTGTACTTGTTGATGTGTATTTTCTTTACCGGATCTTCTACTACTGTGCGCCTGTTTTCAAACGATACCACCGAAGTGTATCAGGTAGTGTTTGCAAAAAAAACACCCTCAGTTCCACATTACTGTTTTGTTTTGAAATTCAGCTGCTAGTCAATTGTATCTTGACTAGCTTGCTGCGAAATGTAGCTCGTGTAGTTTATGATAAAAAGACAGCAACGGCCCGCCATAAGGTCGGTAGAGCTGTCATCTGGGAGTTTATGCTAGCAGTTGCATAGTGACGCAGTTGTATGTCCCAAACCACTTGGAGTGTCGTAAAAAGCTTAGGAGTCCCCAGCAACCGCTCGTGCTGTTAGCTGTCGCTGAGTGTCGCGCGTGTTCCCGATAGGTGAGCGGGTGATGGAGGAGAATGCGGAGCAGCAGCCCACCGCGAGGGAGGGACGCTGCGCAGGGGAGAGCTTCAGGTTGGTGCCAACCCCGTGTGGTTCTTAATTCCCAGCTGACCCAGAACCGTTATACGCAGAGGTGTCAGACTCCAGTCCTCTCTGGGCCGAGTTACTACAGCTTTTAGAGCTGTCCCCCGTTTTAGCACACCTGATTCACATCAAAGTGTAATTAGCAACGCTCAACAACGTCCCAGAGAAGTCCGGTTTAATCAGAATCAGGTGTGCAGAAGCGGGAACATGTCTAAAACCTGCACAACAGTGGGCCAAAGAGGACTGGAGTTTGACACCCGTGAACGCCTCATACGGGTCAGCAAAGTAAACACAAGCCGCATCCCGGAACTAAAGTGGATGTAACTTGCTTTTAAGAAGCAGCCACACATTCTAAGAATGCCAGCAGCACAGAGTTAGTTTGTGAAGCCCAAAGAGCCTGAGGGGTTCCTCCAGGCCAAAGTTCCGGTCTGATGGTGTCTGTGCAGGATTCCTCACAACCCACAGAGCCCAAAGCATCTTCAGTAGAACCTCTACATACGAATTATTCATATGTTGGTTCAAATATTCCCATAACAATACACTGTAATAATTCCTATAATTCGTTCCACAGCCCAAAAACTTACAATAACTCCTTAATAAATACTGCAGATAAATTACACATAGCAATAAAACAAATGCATTATATAAGAGAGATGTAAAAAGAATTAAATTATAAAGAAATGATAAATAAAAAGTGGTTATCATTGGCAAACGGAGGTGTAAGCTTAGCGATGCAGGAGACGGAGGAGGTGGTTGGTATGGAGGTTCCAACTTCTACCCTCAGGTAAAAGGTACAGGTCCCTTCAGAGCCGGACCAAAAGACTGGCCAACTGCCTATACCACCAGGCCATAAGACTTTTTAACTCACAGGACTTTTTGAGGAACGGACTGCCTAAATTCTGAATGTTTTGCCTTATTCATTAGGGCTCCCTTATTATAGTCTGGTTGGGGAGCTGTGTATTTATCGTGTGTGTGTGTGTGTGTTGGGGGGGGGCAAGCATTATGGCACTTAATAATCTTTGCTGCACTTTAAGTGGGATGGAGGGGGGGGCTAGGGGGGTCAAGCACTGGTGTCACTTTTACCTCTTGTGCACTTTACTTGGAACTTGCTGCTACTAAGTATTGTACCCCAAACACAATTTCGTTGCCTTTTTTTTGACAATGACAATAAATTCTTGAATTGAATTGAATTTAATTGATAGAGGTGGAGACAGATCCAGGACGTACCGTAACTGATCCTAACTTTCACTACATGAATTTTAAATTAACTTAGCTTATTTATTTCAATTTCAATTTCATTTTTATATTTTATATATTTTTTTCTATGACTTCGGCGTCATACGTATGATGGAAATTTACTGGGTGTCGAGTTGAATATTTGAATTCGTATGTTTAGGCAATTGTAAGTCCAGGTTCTGCTGTATTGTGAAAGCCTTACATCAATCCCTGGTGGTAGGACAGGTAGCCACTCAGTAGAAGGCCACTGGTGGTGACGTCAGCCTGATCGGTGTGGAGGAATCATGCATTTTGCGTTGAGAACTAACTTTAACTCCTCATCTTGGGTGCAGGGGAACCTGGGGGTTGTGTAACTGATGAAGCATATTTGTCTTTGGTGCACATTTTACATACTGAAATAGAAAAAAAAAAAGTTTTTCAAGTCCTCTTCCACTTTTGACAAGCGCTGTTCACTTTTCCAGCGGCTGAATCCTTGTTGTTTTTTTTCAGCAAAGGATTGCAGTAAATAACGGGCCAGCTCTTTGTTTTGTGCCCAGTAATCCAAGAATTCTCTGAAAAGCCCAATTGTCTGTGGCGTGGCGAGTTGAATGTGCTCCAAGGCTGAACACAGGGCGGCGTTTACCAGCCGACAAATCTGACTGCATTCTGACAGGTGGATTACGTTGCCCAACAATACACACCTAATGCGGATTTGAGGTGGGAAAACAATGTGTTGCCCCCAGCCTTCGGACAGAGCAGCTGTGTGCTCAGAGCTCGCAAAGGAGCGGGGAGTTTCTCCCCATTCACGCGGGGGGCAAGTTGCTTTCTCAATTTTTAATAGGCCTATTGTTAGGACATTTTACAGTGAGATTAGAAGCTGTTTTTATCACACAAAGGCGACTTGCAGACACATTAAACCGTTTCCTAATCAGGCCGCCCTGCGGTGGAGCGCCCAAATCCTCCAGCCTGGACTTTCCTCACTTCACTCGCTGGTGTGGTTCCGCTGGGCTGGGGGAGTGTTTGCTCTGTCGTTGTTGCATTCTTCTTGTGGTGCTGGGGCGCTGTCAGATTTATTTTTTTCCTCCGATCCTATGAGCTTTGCCTTCCTGCTTTGAGATATCAGCGTCGGGATATTCAGGTGGACAGCTGACCCGGCCGCGGTGCGTTTCTGAAGCCGGAATGGACGAAATCAGCCGGCTGTTTGGCACCGGGGGCCGCCTTCGCAGTGACACCCTCTCCTCTGATGCCACCCAGTCTACGGGCAGCAAACTGGCCCTGCGCCATCGCCTCAGCCAGCTAATGACTTGCGTGGATGACTTGGACCCCAGAAACGAGCTGCAGGAGAGAATGGTCAGGACCCTGGACAATGCCTTCCTTGCCTGTGCCAAGAGAGCCAACAAGCCAAAGAGGGACAGTTTCAGGTGGAGGATGATGGGGCCTCTCACTGGGCTTTTCTGTCAAATATGGAGTCTTTGTAGAGGAGTAGAGTTCTTTTTGTTCTTTCTCATCGAAAGCTGCCAGCAGAATCCCTCCCTCTGAATTTCTCTGTTGAATGTGTGAATGAGTAGAAGAACGGCTGGTTTCATTATGAGTGAACCAGCCTGATCTGCACGTTTTTCAGCATTTCAAGGCTTACGTTGGGATGTCTTTCAGGCTGTTGCCATCCCTGAAAGAGCTGCTGTGTGTGTGTGTGTGTGTGTGTGTGTGTGAGGCCCATAGCATAGATTTTTTAAACATTTGTGCCTCATCTGAACAGTGTTAAAGGTGAAGGGTGGAGTGTGGCTCCTCAGGGCTTGTTATGTTTGACTGTTTTTTTGCTCTGTCTCTCAGGCTTCACATGGTGACCTGGAATGTCGCCACTGCCGACCCCCCAGAAAACGTGACCTCACTCCTCCACCTCAATTCACCAAAAAGTGCTGACCTCTACGTGATTGGGTACAGACGATGTCCGACCGGTTTCCGTTAGCCGGCAACAGGACACTGACCATAACATCTGTGTGCTCAGTCTGCAGGAAGTGTACTCGGGGCCAGTGAGATTTGTGTCGGACATGGTGTTCAGTGACCCGTGGAGCCAGCTGTTTATGTCCACCTTAGCACCCCGGAAATACATCAAGGTACGGAAGGAATAAAACAGAACTTTTGATTGCCAAATGTTTCAAACCTGCCTGAGAGTGTTGTAGTGCTGAGGCTTTAATGGGGGTGTGTTCACAGGTGTCATCTATAAGAATGCAGGGTCTGCTGCTGCTCTTCTTCTCCAAACTGGAGCACGTCCCGTTCATCAGAGACATCCAGGCCACCTACACGCGCACAGGCATCTTTGGCTACTGGGTGAGCGAAAAACATGCTCACAGTGTGGTGGCAAACATTTCAGTGACCTATCAGAACACTAACATAATGTCTGACGCATGTCACCGACATGAAGAACAGAGATCCACATCGTTTTCCGTTCTCTAACGGTTTAACTGGTCAGATGTGTTGGCTAATGGCCAAAGAAGCTGCTTCCTGAACTCAGACTGGTTCCATAGAGGGGGGGTCTGCTTTAAAAACTCACGAACCAGAACCTGCAGCCTGAGAGCAAAGAGCTCGGCTGGAAGTGGACTTACAGCCTCTTCTTTTCTTCTTATTTGCTCCTCAGGGTAACAAAGGTGGTGTGTCGGTGCGTCTGTCTTTCTACGGCCACATGCTCTGCTTCCTCAACTGCCACTTGACTGCTCACATGAATTATGCCTCAGAGAGAGTGGGGGAGTTTGAGTACATCTTGGACATGCAGACCTTTGACTGCAAAAAGGCCTCAAGAGTGACCGACCACCGGTGAGAAACCTGCAAAGCATCACGCACTATTCCTGTACTGTCCGAGCTGAGTCCCGCTCAGTTCCTTCTCCTCTGTGTCCAGGCTGGTGTTCTGGTTTGGGGATCTTAACTTCCGGATCCAGGACCACGGCATGCACTTCGTCCGCTCCTGTATCAACAAGCAGACCTACAACCTGTTATGGAGCAATGACCAGGTGGGGCCTGGGCTTGTTTAATGGCCCACAGTGCACAGGTTTGCACCGCCTGCGCCCATGAACCTGTTTGAACTCGGGAAATGTGCATGCTGTCCCTTTCAGCTGAACATGATGAAGAAAAAGGAGCAGCTGCTGCAGGAGTTTGAGGAGGGGCCACTGGACTTCCAGCCCACATACAAGTTTGATTTGAAGTCTGATACTTATGACAGCAGGTAAATATTCCTGATTATAACACAGGAGGCCGTCAATCCTGATTTTAAATCCTCTGTTTAATTTAATTTCAATGTGTTTGTTTTGTTTAACTTCTTCTTCATTTTCCAGGCTCCAAAATACATGGTTTGGCTTTAAGTAAGGGTTCAAAATACATTTATATGCATACATCACTTAATATGTTTGCCCATATTTACTTCCTCTAAACACAATTAACCTATTCATATGCACCGCTTTTAACCTTTTAGTAAATAGTGTATGTATTTTATATAGTAGTGACAGATGTATCATTGAAAATAATCTGTATCAAGTAAACTGAGAGATTTTAACAGTTTTAACAAGACTAACTTCAGATTAGCCGTATTACTAGATGTACCATTTGGATATTTTTTTAACCTATATAACAACGTTTGCCCTGAGTTGCAGATTCCTCAGAAACGTAGTGCTCCCCCAGATGTTTTGATGGTGTGAATAGTTATTCATAGATATTAACAGCGGTCTTTCTAGCTAATGAAGGCTTGACATTCTACATGCTCGTCAGACTTTGCAGCTCTTTGAAAATAAACTGGACTAAAACTCCTAACTTGTATCTGCAGGGCTTTCAGATCCTGTGGTGGGCCACGTCACCACGCTTGTTTTTCTCTTCTCCCAATAATAAAACAGTCCGAGTATTCTCTCACAGATACAGAAAAATACTGTGGCACATTTTTGTTAAAAAATGACAAATATTTTCCTACCGTCCATCATTTTAGGGTGGCTTAAAATGTGTACTGAACAATAGTTCTGGCATTTTTAAAATGGCTCCACTGTCTCTGACTGTGGTCCCCACGTTTCTGGGCCACATGACGCAGAGCTCTAATCCCAGCATCACTTAGCTGAGCAGGTCTTTGTTCCCCTGAATTTGTTCCCCAACTGAAGCCCCGCTCTGGGCTCTCTGTCCATCCATCAGCGGCAAGAAGCGAAAGCCTGCCTGGACCGATCGGATTCTGTGGCGCGTTCGACCCAGAGCCCCGCCGCCTGACGGCCAAGAAGCAAACAGCACGGCAGCGGACGGGAAGACGCCCGAAGAGACCGAGGAGGACGAGTATCCCCTGAAAGTCAGGCAAGACCTGTACAACAGCAACATGGAGTACAGCATCAGCGACCACAAGCCCGTGGTCGGCGTCTTCACGCTGGAGGTGAGGCATGGCGGCAGGTTGCAGAAAACCAGAAGGTGAGGCAAAACATTTACCCTCTGGCCTGCGTCCATTCAGCTCAGGAAGCTGTGCGACACGCCGCTGGTGCGCCTGCAGGCGGAGGGAGACTGGAGCGCGGACATGGACGCCATGGTCCTCTACAGCCCCCTGCAGCCCTTCCCCGCCAGCACCTGGGACTGGATCGGCCTCTACAAGGTTTCGCCGTTCGCCTTTCGCTCCGACTTCCCCTTTTTCCATCGGGAGACCGCATGACGTTTCTACCAATTTCAGGTGGGGTTCAGCAGCCCGTGGGACTACATCACCTACACCTGGGTCAAAGACGACGAGGCGGTCTTTAATGAGGAAGTGATGCAGGTATGAGGCGGGGCGCGGTTTGACCGTTGAGCAGCGCCCCGCAGAGGATTCACACTGTTGCCTTTTCAGGTGTTTGTGAGTAAAGAGGAAATCCCCGTGAGGGGAGCGGAGTGCGTGCTGTGCTACTACAGCAGCGCTCTGCGCTGCATCATTGGAATAAGTGAAGCGTTTAAGGTCAGTCGATCATAGAAACGTATGGCAGCTTAAAACAAGCGCACCTAAAGACTCTAAAGCCTCTCTTTTTGTAGGTGCTGGAGTCCAGGGTGGCCCTGGAGGAGGGCTTGCTGCCCGAAAGGACCAGTGGACTCAACAGAATCGCAGCGAGTGACGACTTCTGAAACGAGCCTCACTCATGCGGTGTGATCCAATGGTTCCATTCCTTTAAAAATAACTTGTTTTTCTTAAACTGCAGCTGCCGAAGCCACCTGTCCAAGGTGTCCCTCGCCCCCACTGACCTATCACGTCTACCTGTGAGCCTCTCTGTCCCTCTGCAACCTGCACTTAGTCTCCTGTGCAAACCGCTCTCTGTGGTGATCGACCAGTTACTGTACTGCAGAGGACGTTACGATAAAAAAAAAAAATGGATGTATGTTTGATTTTTGAGCCATAAATTAGATATGTAGGTACAATGAGAAAGCAGGCTGCCTGGTCACACCTGCTGCTGTATGTGGTCAGCTTCCTGATGAAACACTGACTCATTTACAGCCCTCCGGTCAACTATCACAGGACTGCTATAGTGACAAAAGGGAATTCTAACATTCACAAAGCTCGTTAGCCACTGTTGGTTTAAAAGGCAGTAAAATCACACCAATGTGTCCTGGAATATTCAGAGTGAAGAATGATGAGTCGGCACGTGCTGCTGTCCAGATAGATGGAAAGAATGCCAGTCTACGGTTTGTCCAAATACCTGTGTCCACAGGTGAACATTTCACTTGTAGGATTAAAGTGGGTTTGGAAGGATTCATAGAAGTGGGCTGCTGTAGGAAGTCATGGGACGTTTGTTCAGTTATGATTTGCTTTTTCAGGAATTTTTAGCTTACCGGAACTTTTGAAAAAAAAATGCATTCATTCCCCTTTTAATGCTCACTGTGGCGAAGTAAACTTAAAAGTAATATTGCACTGTTTAAACTTTATGCACCGATTTGTATAGTTGATTTTATTATTAGTGTTACAAAGAAAATATGATCTTCTCTTTTTATTGACCAATATGGACTCAGCAAGTGCCTTTGAACCGACGTTTGCTTTGTGTGGATGCTGCTTCACTTTGAAGCTGATCTGTCAGCATTTTCATGGCTTCTTCAAATCACTTTTCATTATTTATGAGGAAACTTCGAGTCACATCTGAATGTTGTTATAATGATATAAATGTTATAATTTGACTGAAATCTATTAGTTTGTTACTGGAATTATCTCACTGTTTTTTTCGTTTTTTTCAGTTAATAACTGGTGTATTGTAACAAAATACCAAGCTCAGATATTAAACATGTGTAACTTCAGATTTTTGTCTTCTGGATCCTTCTTGACTTTGCAACGAAAACTTATTTTAGTTTTGTAACAACAGAATTTCCACCTGATTTTTCATCGGAACAGGGTCTTAGTACATGGATGAGACTTTTTAGACTCTTTAGTAACCGACAATGACGGGAACGCGCAGAAAACGGCCGCGTGACGTGTCATCGGTCGCTATAGTAACCGCTTGTTTTGGCCGCAGCTTGACTCCTGTCAGAGGAAGCCGTTACACTTTGGGGGATTACGGCCGCAAAAAACCGGTATGTGTCAGAAACAGAGAGCCTTTGGGCTCGGGAACCGCCTCAGAGATGTCTGTTTGAGTCTGAGAGAAAAAAAAGGAATTACAGCTCTAAAAAACACAGCTCCAAAAATGACAGTTGTATTAACGCTAATTAATTAATGCTAATGCTAGCAACTCTCCCTGAGTTCCCTCAGTGTTATTTTCCCCACTTAAGTGGATACAACTACACATAACATTTTGTCCGTTATGGAACAGCTCTAACTTCTTCTCTCTGGTTAATGGAAATAATCTCTGGGTGTCCAGTAGAAACTGGGAAGACTCTGTAACACTGCTGCCTGTGTTTGTTTTCCTCCCCCAGAGCGGAACCATGTCTCTCCTGGACCACAGTCCCCATCAGGGCGGAGGCCCCGATCTGACCAAAGTGGAGGTCAAGCTCAACCACTCTGAGCTTTTCAGAGCAGAATGCAAGAGGCTGATCCGGGAAACCGACAAGGCCTGCAAACGCATGCAGGACGATGACAATAGGCGACTTGGTAAGAAGATGTCAGATTGCCTTGGTTCAGCACAGCCTGGGGATTCAAACTTTTCACCGGTAAATTGCGATGTATTTCACTGCTCAGATCAGCGAGTCCGAGACATCCAGTTTCTGAAGAAGGAGTTGGAGCTGAAGCTGGAGGAGATAACGCAGGAGACGGATGTCCTCCTGCTTTTGCAAAGCCGAGTCATGAAGGCCATGGAAGCAAGCACAGAGCCTCTGAGGGTCACCAACTTGTGTTTGGTGGAGAGGTGAAGCAGCCGGATGATCTCAACGATCGTCTTCTGTGTCGCACATTTCTGTCTCAGGCATTTGGCAGCTGCCTTTTAAATTTTTGACAATTTCTTTGATGACGTCTGAGCCTCAAACAGGTTTTCCTAACCCCACAGCTCTGGTTTACATCACAGGGTAAACCTCTTTGAATCAGATAATCCTGCCAAATTGGGTTGAAGCTATTTCTATTAGTTTCTTTTGGTTTTTCTACTTGTCTGTCGTCTTTATGATACCTTTTACATTGTCTGCTGACGTAGGAGCTAAAGGCCTTGTGAAGGCAGTCGCAGTTGTGAAGTAGAATTGCAGAATACGTGTAGATGAGTAAGCTTCTTTGTTCTGTGGCTTCAAGAATGAAGCGTGAGCCGTCCGAGAGGCTGCATGACAACGTGGACTGCGAGCTGCGGAGAGAGCGGGAAGTTCTCGAGGGAGTGGCGTCCCTTCTGCAGCGTGTGCAGGAGCAGATCTCTGAGCAAATACGGTAAAGTAGCTCCCTCACCAAGAGGATCCCAGAATGATGCGGGCCTCTCGATGCTGCTGTCAAAGAGAGCACATGCAGACCGAACCCGTGTCCTTACTTTTCAGGCTGAACCGCTCTGCCAAGTACCATCTAGAGCAGGATCTGAAGGATAAGTTCAAAGCTCAGTCCATTGACAACTCCTGTGCTTTAATGACCGCCCACTCCATCAACGGCACGCAGAGGTCAAACAACAAGATGGCCGTCCTGCCCAGGTGACATTCCAACTTGACGCTGTTTCCTTTGAGACACAGAATATATTTCATCTGATGGTCTGTGCAAACACACATGTCCAGAAGGGGTTGACTCATACCCTTGTGTTCTTTACAAACACAGAGGGGGTCATTCCATGTACAGCAATAAATCTTTTCAGGTCCTAACCCCCTCACGGATTTCATAACATCTCTCAGCTTGGTAGTGACTCCGATGCAGTGGGAGAACTTGTCGGACATCAACATCGCTAAAGCGGAGCATCAGAGGACCAACTCCGTGTCCCTGCGGGCCCTGGTGGAGTCTGTGCTGGAGCAAACGGCAGCTGACATGCAGAAGCAGGTCAAAGCCACTTCAGCAGCCATCCAGCTAAATGTCCAGCAGATCAAGTCTGACAAGAGCCAGATGGAGGATAAAATGCCTAAGGTAAGGGGCGTCTGACAGAGGGAGTGGGGTAGCTAATAGTTGATAGTTCAGAGAAGCACTGATACCCAGATCCATTATATTCAAGGACTGAAGCCTTGAATATTATCTTGCATTGACATTTTGAACAAAGCTACCATTTGTGCTAAGAAAGCTGTGTAAAGCGGATTTGGTAGGCTGGCAGCAGATTTAATCTGAGTTTAATTCAGTCTCTGTAACTTAAAATATGGGTGTGCGCTATATAGATAGACCAAACTGGAGTTATTACAAAAGGCTGAATGTAGAGACACTTTAAAAATAAGTCTGCTATACATCAATCCATCTTATCTGGGGGCTTTGTCCGATCAGGGTTGTGGTGGGTCCGAGGCCTAACCCAGCTGCCATAGGAAAGGTCAGCAAACTTCACTAAACAGTGCGGCCCATCACAGGCTACACAGAGACAAACTACCATGTTCTCTCTCCCGATGTTAGTTTAGAGTCACCAATTAACCAAAGTGCATGTTTTTGGACGGTGGGTGGAAGCCAGGGAACGCACACATGACAAGAACCACCTGGGATGAGAAGCAAAGATCTGGAAATATTAAACTAATATTACCTTTTAAGATTGATTTGAATGTCCACAGTTTTTTCTGTGCTTTCCTGAATCAGATTCCAAGTCATGTTTATCATTAGTGTGTTTTGGAAATGTGCCTCTCAATACATTCGTTTGGAATGGCTGTACCTGAAGTTCTGCCTTCGTTACCTCTAGCTTCAGGCTGAGATCACCAACCAGCAGAGGATCAGAGAGGACCTCCTTGTGGCCATGACACAGAACGAGCACTTCTGGAGTTTGGCTCAGGCCCGGCTGGCTTTGCGCTGCCAGAGGCCCGGCAAAGAGCAGTGCCATGATCCGGCACAGGCCCAGCTCCTCGCCGAGGTCCAGCAGCTCAGTACCCACATCGACAAGTAAGGCTTCTACACAGTGTGCACCGCATTCAAGAGGCTCCTGGAGGGAATGGCTGTTGCATTTGCAAGTGACAATACAAAGTGGAGAGTAATAGAGCAAAAATAAGATAAGCTAACTTAAGTAACAAAGTAGCTAAATATAAACACAATTACCAAAACAGCAGAATAACCAGTTTATGGAGTTTATGCACATGGAAAATGTGCAATTAGCAAGTTTGGCCGCATCAATGAAATACAATAGTTAGAAATAAGGGATTTGTATAAGTGAAATATTTGCAAATAAGGGATTTGAATAAGTGACATTGGATAAAATAGCAGTGGATAAGGTGATAATGTGGCCTCAGTTAAACAGTCTGATAGCCACAGACAGAAAGGATTTCCTCTGGCATTCTGTTAAACACTGGGGGGGGGGTGAGTCTGTTCCTGAAGCTGCTTCTGTGTGAGGTCAGCACCTGGTGGAGAAGGGGAGTGATATTGTCCAGGATACTCCTGCAGTTTCCAAAGCATACTCCTCTCAGACACCACCACCAAAGAGTCCAGCTGGACCCCCCCAGGACAGAGCAGCCTTCCTGTTGAGTGTCTGCTGCCCTCAGCCTTCACACCACACCCAATTAGACAGCACTGCTGCCACCCACTGGTGGAACATCCTCATGAGGTTACATACATTGAACAAATGAAGTCTCCTCAGGAAATATAGCCGATTCTGACCCTTCTTATAAACAGCCTCAGTGTTCTTGGTCCAGTCCGGGTTGTTGTTCAGGTTCATCCAAGGTATTTGTAATCCTGGACCACTTCCACAATCTCACCGTTGATGATAAGGGGTTTGGGGGCAGGTTTTTCTCTACTGAAATCCACGATGTTGAACGCACCGGAGAAGTAAACAAACAAACATCCTCCTGAAACTGAAGCGGGTCCACTGATGAGCCGACCTGTGGCCAGCCTCTTAAGGGACTTCATCAGGAGGGACGTCTGGCCACCGGTCTGTACAGGAGGAGGCACTGGGACCGGGCAGGACAGGGACCTCCTCCAGACCAGCACCGAATGTGCTTAAAATGTGAAGCCTTTCATCCTGTCCAGACTGAGAAATGTCCAAAACACGTACGACGTATAGGAGGAACTGAACTATTATGGTCATCTCAAACACACGAGCTGTGAACGAACCTCAGGCAGTAACTCAACTGTGAGGTTTCCAGACTGGCCATGACGTGTTTAGATTCGGGTTCTGAATGAATGTTTCTGTTCCTATTCCTGGATTGCTGTTCAGAGCCGATCTCTTTTCTGTTCTCGCAGACTGCGTGAAGACGCGCTCCAGTCAGAGGAGGAGCAGCGGGCGCTGGCTCGCTGCCAACTGGCGCTTCGGGAAGACATCGAAATCAAAGCCAAGAGCCTTTACATTGACGAGGTGGTCTGCATGCAGCACCGGGAGACCATTGTCCTGAACAAGTTCTGACCGGTGAATTCTGTCTCTACCTGTTTTATTTCAAATATACTCAAGTCGCTTGAAGGAGTCTGTCCGTCTGTTTGTTTACCGGCCTCGTGAAGGGTTACTAAAGGGTCAGCGGCTGCCTGCTTTATGTTCCTCATGTCCTCCTGCTTTATTAAGTCAGATAGCTTTCTCCTCTCATTACATGTTTCTCAAATCATTCTACACAATTACATATTATTTACATTCTGGGTTTTATTTGAAGAGAAAGTCCGTTTTTACAAGAAAGTGCAGCTGAAATCCCCCCCAAACTACCCATCTGTCATCAGAAACAACAAGCTGAAGCTCACTGTTGAACAAAACCCGGCTTTTTTCCAGGGTGCCATGTTTGCCCCATTACATACTTGTTAATATCTATTCCTGAACTCTGCTCAGATGGTTATGTGACAGATGTGACTAGCCTTCTGGAACCTCTTTAGAAACAGCTGCTCTGAGACACTTGGGTAAGAACTGATTACAGTGAACAATCACAGCAGTCTGATCCCTTCTGTTTAACATCATAAAGACACGAGAGGTGTCAAGCCGACTGAAACATAAACGGCAACATTCTGAACCATTAAGCCCCGAATCCGTTCCAGCTGATTAAAACAGGACCTGATGGAAGCATCCATTCTCAGAGCAAAGGTGAGCGGGAGAGCCCGGAGCAGCGACCTCCGTCTTTAACTCTCTCTGTTTTTCAGGAGAAGGTGTTTTCGGCATTTTTCCTAAAATCCAAAAAGGAGGAGAAAGCTCTTACTGGGGTGATTACAGAGTGCGAATCAGAGCCATCGCGTACGATGCGTGACATTACCACATGCCAGCGCAGTGTGAGGAGGGGCAGGGTCAGGTGACAGTGTGGGCAGCTGCTGATCTCCTCTGGGTCTCCGTCCACCTCTGTCCCGGGGCGTGTGTGCGTCAGGGACGTATTCTTATAGGCAGCGCTGAGCTGGGCAGCCGCCCCCAGCCTGGAGAAATCCTCCTCTTCCTCGCTGTCTTCGTCGTCCTCGCCGTCCCACCTGGGATCCACAAAGCACTGGTGCGACACACGACAACAGAGACGTTAGAAGAGAGCCATCACTTTCGACTGCCGTTGGATGGACTGAGTCTGGGTCGCCGTTTCTAAGGTTCTGGCCTTAGAAACCAGACTCACCATGGGTGATAACGAGTCGCTCTTTTCTAAATCATCATAGCGTTGTGAATGAATGGCTTTCTGTCAAACTACAAAATGATTATGCCGGTACCTAAAAAAACAATCCTTGAAAATCAATGATCAGTACTATAAAAAATAAACCTCTTAACTCGTTGACTGCCAGCCATTTTCAGAACAGAGAGTCCCATACTGCCAAAGTTTTTTGAGCATTTTGACTGATTTTTCAAGAGCCACAGAATAGTTTGTGCTATGAGTATATAAACACCGAACACACCAAAAGAAAGAGTAGACTCTCTTCTTTCATCAGGAAAAAAAAATTGTTTCTACCTTTTTCCGTTTTTCCTCGATATGCGTCTCACCGGCGCCATTTTTCGCATAGCGAACCATTGCGATTTTTTTATTTGCCTACAATCTATGCTCATCTCCCATCAAAAGTGGCACTGCTACCTAGAGGGTCAATTTGTTACTACGGTACATACTCTGTCTAGAAGCTGATATTTACGGACAATCTTCAGCGGATCGTCCCCCAAATCACTCGCGTTGAAAAACATAAAAGACGTCTATAGACGTCTTTGGCAGTCAGCGGTTGGATTTGAATTGACGTCTATGGACGTCTTTGGCAGCGAATGAGTTAAGCAAAAGAACAATGAAAACCTGAAATCGTTAGTAGTTAGAAAACGGAGAACGCATGAAATGAATAAAAAAAGAACGCGCTTTTTAGGATCTATCCAAAAGATCAGACCAAAAAAATCAGGTTTTAGGGGCCTGGAGAAGTGAAGCGATCAGGAGGGGAGCAGAGGAGACGAGTTTCAGATCGATGGAACTCAGAAAGTGGCTGAGTCTTATCTCACACTGGACCCGTTCAGATAACAGAACCTTTGCCTTGATGAAACGTACCCATGAGGCAAAAAAGCTTGGGAATACCTCGTGTTCGTCTCGGCCCCCGGCTGGAAACGACGCTCCACATCTGCTGCAGCTGGCGGTGGTTTGTGCTGTCAGGAGGCGTACGGCAGAGTTAAAAACCCCCTTCAGAATAGAGTGACCGGGGCTGACATGCTTCTCGTACCTGTGTGCGGGGGCCTGCTGACCGCCTGTAGAAGGCCCGAGCCCTGGACAGAGCCCCGGTCCGAACCTTGGCCCGAGCCCTGGACCAAGCTCTGGACCGAGCTTTGGCCCGAGCCCTGGCCCGAGCCCCGGCCCGAGCCCTGGCCCCAGCCCTGGTCTGAGCCCGAGCAGGTCAGGCCGTGCTCCGGCAGCTCTCTCATTCGGACGTAGCGGCCGCAGTCCTCGCAGAGCTCGGTGCGGCTGCCGCAGACCACGAGGTGACCGTCCAGGTCCTTCCACGGCAGGTCCAGCTCACAGAAGCCGCACCTCTGCAGACGCTCCACGCACTCGTCCGACTGGATTCCGGAAAGAAAGCAGTCACACGTTTAAAACTGCGACTTCAAATGGAAGGTATAGTACTACTCTAAGCATCAGTCTTTAACCTATAAAAGTCCAACTGTCTTCTTCCAGAGGTCAAAGGTTGCTTAATATCTGTACCTTTCTGACTCTTTTTGTAAAACACATGATGTCTTTGTGTAAAACTGACCAGAGACTCACCTCGTGATCCGACAGCCGCCATCGTTCCATTTTCTTGCGGCACTTGGAGCATCTCACCTTACGGGGGGGAAGCAGGAGAACAGACAGAGATTTTAGCTCGGCGTCCAGAACGTGCGCGCCGGCGAGCGGGGCCGTGCACGAGGCGGTGACAGCCACACCTGGCTGTGCTGCTCCTCTCTGTGCTGACTCAGCTGCTCTTTGGGAACCGCCTCGTCGCAGTCGGGGCACACGCACAGGGACCGGCGGCAGGTGGTCTCGGGGAGGGGGAAATTGGCCCCCCCAACCCCCCCTGGGGTTAAAAAAAAAAAAAAAAAAAAAAAAAAAAAAAAAAAATCCCCTGATTTCTTTACCGAGGGCATGTAAACAGCTGAGGTCGACTGTGTTTGAAAAGAGAGATTCATGCATAAATAAATGATTCATAGCTGGGCCAATCAGGAAGCTGGGGCATTATACACTGACCCCCCTGTTACTGACAGTTATAGACATGAGACTACAGCACAGGCACGTGCTCTGACCCTGAACAGGGCGTGGACCTGCCCTAATAGCCCTAAAAACGAAACTACGAGACTACTTTTCTGATGTACAGGGAAATAATACACCCTGATAAACTAATTCAAAGACCTTATTAGAAAAGCTCTTGTTCTAAATCCCTACTGTTCAATCGTCTCTGAAAGTCTTTAAAACAGCATTAAACAGGTAAATATCAACTCCAATAGACTGTAAGATTTAATGCCGATCCTCGGGCAAAGTCCTACTCCTCTCACACCGGTACGTGTGGTTCTGAAAGTTCGCCCCACAGCTGTAAAATCCAGCTGCTAGACAGCCGTTTCTGTGTTTTTCCCCTGACCGGAATCTCTTTTCTTACCACTGACCGCAGGTGCGCGTCGCCTCCTGACCGTCCATTCCGCCCAGCTGATCAGAGACAACACTTCAATCTCAGTTCACCAAAACAGAAAGTGAAAGCATTCCCCCCTCTCTCCCCCTCTTTCAATCACGTGCTGCTGTTCAGCCCGCGTGCACGGGGGGGCGCACGAGCTCCGGTCCGGCCGCATCACAACACGTCGCTGCTGCGGGAGCGCCGGTCCGTGAATGCATCATGGGCTGTATGACTGAACTCAGAGGTAATTGCGGTGGGTAGCACCTTCAGGAGGGTTCCCGGTTCTAATCCCAGCATAAAACAGCCTACAACACCACAGCCAAACCAGAACATGTCATCTAAATAAAGTAAGTTAGGGGAATGCTTTAAACAACACCAAAAAAACTTTCCTGTCTACTTTAAGGTTTGGAACTTTATTCTACTAAGGAGCTAGCCTCTTCTGTCTTACTTAAAAAAGTATAGGTTTTTTAAATTTTTTTTTTTTTCTTAATTTAAACATTGTAACTGTAGGCTGTCAGGTATTTGCATCTGACAAGAAAATGATGAGGGAATGAATTCTTTAAATCTGATCTGATTTGGGAAAAAACAGATGAATCTAATATAGAATTAAAATAATTTTAACATCTACTCCCTTATTTTGACTCTATCTGTACTCAGCGCTTACTGAGACAAAAATTCTAAAGAAACTATGAATAAGAACAGGACGACGATTCATAACAAATAACAGAGGAGGTTTTACTGATTTCCACTTTGTTAGAAAAACTGAGGGTCTGAGATTCAAAAGAGCTAAAACTACTCTTGGGTGGAGATCTGATGAGTAACCCAGATCTGAGGGTGGCTGCCCCCCCCTCCTCCTTTGCCCGTGGCTCCAGCCACGTGGACATTTAAACAGAGGGAGTAGATTCATTGATGGTGACGATCCTCCTGCTGCAGCCGGGTCTCTGAGACAGAACTCATCAGTGTGATCACCAGTCGGGTCATTCTCTAATGGGAGAGCTGATAATCAGATTACTACATTAAGTCAAAAATCATTTTAGTGACCTCTGATCGGTTTATTGTCTGTCCTGATTCATTTTTTCAGATAGCCGTTTTAATTGGATTCCATTTTGCCTGCTTTCCCCCGTGCATGTGATTCTGAGCTAATGACTTGAACACACCAAATCCTTAAATGTGTCGTTACATTACCTTTTCTGCTCATTTACACTGAATTTTGAGGAAATTACTTCCTGGCCTATACTGAACCAGATGATAGTTAGACGTATTTCATGTTTGAATAGTTGATATGTAATCTTTTCTCTCTGTTTAACTTGATTTGTTAATGTACATTTATTTTCACATTTAAAATTTCTTCCACAAAAGTGTGGGACACAGTCCTTCAGAAATACATTCAAACATTTGATGTCACTTGGGGATTATGACTGTGATTTTAATATAAAAGTAATATCCATAACAGGCTGAGTCTTTTGAGGAGTACTCACAGCCTAAGAATAAACTAATGTCTTTAAATATAGACCTCTCCGAAGAACGTTTTGGCACAGATTTTTATATTTCTGCTTCTACCAAGAAAAATACAATTAAAGCATTCAAAGGGTTTCATGAGGAACGTGTGACAGACGAGGGGGAAAGCCTAAGCTAGAAAAAGCCTCGTGGTATTCTTGTCCTTAGGCTGCTTCCTCCTCTTCTTCTTCCAGATCTTTGTAGGAAGAAAGGGAAGCTGTGTGGGGCAGCCCCCATGTTCTCAGCAACCAGTCCCGAAGCCACATTCTGTGATGGTGTTGGGTGGTAGCAGAGCCTTTGGGCAAAGCTCCCTTCTGCTCATGTGATGCCCAGACAAGCCCAAAACCACCAGATCACAGGAAATATCATCCCAACGCTCATACACAGTGATTCATCATATTTATTCAAACATTAAACAGTGACCAACATAGTGGAACAGATAGCAGCCACGTGGGAATTAGCAGCTGTACAGGTGGACGTGTGTGTGTGTGTGTGTGTGTGTGTGAGTGTGTTATGTCCTGATATGTTGGTCAGGATGGAGACATGCACTCATTTCAACATCTGATATACTTCACTGTACAGAGATTCTGGTGTTTTCGTATCAACAAATTCTTTATACAAAAGTGAACATCTTTTAAGTAGCGCTGTGTACAAATGTGGGACTCTTCACCTGTCAGAGAAGCTAATTGGTGTACAAGGTGGGCTTCAGCAATGGGGGCAATCAAAGGTTTAAATGGAGCTTGGGGAAGGACTTAATTTCTGACAAAGCGGAGGCTCAGTTTGTCTGGTAAAATCATATTTTCGCTACTGTTCTAAATGAGTTTCCAAAGAAAGCCAAGCGTGTGTGTTTTTGTGTGACCTGAATGCAGACGGAGACACAGGGATGCTCCTTTTAGGTGCTGCACTTGCTACAAATCCTGAGAAAAAATCCCCCCCCCCCCCCCCATCAATATCTCATCCTTCATGTTTGAAAAAAGTGGACAAATCTTAAAAACCGTACAAACACTCACAGTTAGAAGGGACCAATGCAGGCAAACAACACGACAGTCATGACGTTTGAACACTGGTCGATGCTCTCTGCGACCACAAGAGGGCAGCAGAGCAACACAAATCAAACTCCAGTACCAAACGGAGAACACCAACGTTTTTGGCAGGCAAAAAGATGCTTCTAATCGCAGGTCATTGGAGATTCGGGGGCCTTTTTCCACATTACAAAATTATATATATTTTTTCCAGAGGATGATAAAAAGTTTCAAAGTTGAGAAACGAATAAATTAAACATGGTTGATAAGAAACTAAACTCACATGGACTCCACATGTTTGTGAGATATCTGCTAAATAGAAAAATATATGATTTCGAAATGAATTCAAACATAGAAAAATACTCAGAATAAAATGATATGATCATATACATAATAGGTGGTCATGTGACCAATGCTTCGATTAATACAGACTGAACCACTGATGGACAATCAATGTCTAAATATACTGTTTGTTATGATGTTGGTGGTATTAGTTGGCCTTTAAGGTTTTTATCCTGTTGAGGTCTGGAGAATGTGTGATGTAGAAGAGCGAGGGTGTGTGTTGTGGGGTCAAAAGGCCAGCGGAGAGGTCACCAGACGGAGCATTTGTCCACAGGGTTCATCGGGGATCCCTTTGGACAGTGGAAAACACGGGCAAACTCATCGAACTGGGAGACACTGCCGATCACCCTACAAGGGGAGGGAAACACAAAATAATCCTCAAACTCTGATGCAGATATGATTGAAAACATTAAACAGAAGACCTCCGTGTGTGTGGACATCCTGAGAACAACTTTTTATGGAGGGCTTAAAGCTCTGAATGACTTATAACTCCAAAAGGGCTAATAAAAATACTAACAGAATATTATTATGCACTTATATTTCATTCATAACGACATAGAAAACTTGAAAATGAGACACTGAGCAGTTTTCAGATTAATTGGCAACATTCCAGGAACGTGACTGGGAATAAAAAGAGCAGCTTTTGAGAGGCAGAGTATCTAAGAATGCTTCTGGTGAAGCTCCCACTTCTGTTGCAATGAGAGGATATTGACACTTGAAATGTAATAATGTCGAAAGGCGCCACTGTTGAAAAGCAAAATAATTCCATAAGACGGAGGACTAAATCCTTGAGGATTTGTTTTTTTCAAACACAGATTTTTTTCTAGAACTCTAGAACACTTTTCTACTTTCGCTTTTTTAAAATTCTTTTTTACTGTACTAATTTGTGGTCACATGTAAATTGTTTGGGGTAAACACTGATTAGATTAGGTCAGAGTGAGCTTCAGTGATTGTGGAGATGTCAGACTGGGACTGTGGAGCCTCAGTCCTGGATTTTTGAGGGACCTTAAGGCCCTCAGGCAGCTCTGCTTTAAAAACAGACCTTATTCCGTCCTGAAATCACCGCACGGGCTCAGGGAAAACTTCCAAAAATGCCATCCGTAGCTCTGCCACGCAGAGGAGACAAGCCGCGAACACGACCCAGAAACGTGGCTATCCTCTCTGGACCGCAGCTCATTAAAAATGGACTGAGGCAAAGCGGGAACTGTTCTGCTCTCAGACGGACCAGAGCCTGAAACTCTCTACGAAAATCACAGAGGCTGCTTTTCTGGACTAAAGAGGGGGACCGCGGCATTTGATATGAATACACAAAGCTAACTCTTTGGATGCTAAAAACACTGAGGACCCTCTGGGCTGATTTGTGATTTGTGGATGCTGCCCACCTGTAGTGCTCTGGTGCGTGTTTGTCCGTTAGCAGCTGTAGGTAGATGGACTGGGACCTCCTCTTCATGCACCAGTTCTGGAAAGATCATGTCACATGACAGTCATCAGTGGGAACCCGGGACCAGGTCCCACTTGGCAGGATGCAGTTTTATCCACTCTAAGTCATAGCCACACACACACACACCGAAGCAACAGGTGACACCGACACAAACTTTTATGATGTTTTTCATATCTCACTTGTGTATACGGATAATTAGGAACAAATCCATGTTTCCTGATCCCCACTGTGGGTTTTACAGATCAGTCTGCGTCTTTTTGCCCGGCACAGATTCAGAAAGCCGAGACATCACGATCCGAAAATGTATTCATACAGCGCCATAACTATTCCGCGCCGCTCTATGCTCCTCATTTGTAAGTCACTTTGAGTAAAAGCATACGCCAAATTAGCCTAAAGTAATAAATAAACACGCGGCAAAGTGCTGCGTCTGGTCTGTGGCTGCTGGGCGGCGAACAGCTCATCACACTGACCGTCAGGGGAGTGGACGATAATGGAAAAGCAGGTAAAGCAAGGTCATAGCTTCTAAAAGATACTCACGCAGTTCCTATTTTGAGGGACTCTCATTGTTCTTATTACTTCACTTACTGTTAAGATGGCTGCTGCCATATATAAAAAAGTATTGTTTTCTGTATGTCCTTTTATGACTCTATGCACAGATATAATAGGTAATCCTGCACGTGACAGAAATTAGTGCCCATAAGACAATAATGTATCATTAAATGAATAATGTCAACAGCCTGGTACAACGACAGCAATAATAATAATGTAATGATACGTGACTGAAAGTCCATTGAAAGAAATAGCTATTTAATCTTACACTTGATTAGTTAAAGCGCTTCGTTGATCTTTTAGTTATGTGCAAAGGATTTAAACATTCTTCCATTTGTCACTTTCTGTTACATATGTCCACAAAATAAGATGCTAGATGTAATATTAGATTTTCGGTGGACCTGTATTTGCATCAGATTTAAACATTGCCGTGGAATTATTACAGAAATGCAGATTTGTATTGAGGGTGAAAGCTAAAATACTTCAAGAAACTGTTTGACAGACTGCGTCATACTTAAAAAATCTTGATTGTATTTAGAAGTTAGCACATAAAAAAAAGCCATTACATTTAAAAGCACGTATGTTAGCCCGCTGTGCAGGTTTGTTGATGTCGGCACATTAATTCAGGTGGAGGTGGATCAGTTGCCCGGGGCGTTATACTCTCACACACATTTGATGATTTAGTTGAATGTACCTAAATATACTGAATTTCAGAGTACTATCCTGTGGCAAGATTGAAAAAAAAAAATAGACAGAAACACCATATTTCTGCTCTGAACTTTTACCCCAGTCATGAATTTCAATCGAATCGGTGAATCTCGACGAGGAGTCTTAATAGTTACAAGAATCGGGGGTGGTCTAGACACTGTAGCGTCTTCGGCACTATCTGTGTCTGATCTTTTCAGTTGTTAATGCATCTGTCAGCTAATGTCGGCATCATACAACTCCCACCTGCCCTTTACGATGCGCCACTCCAGCTGAGAGTGCGGTGTGAGGGACTTGTGTAGTATGGAGATGGAATGAAAAGACAGTGGTGAGACTTCGGAGAAGCCCTTACCTGTGCGAAGGCAATGAAAAGCAGCTGTTCGTGTGTGTATTTGAGGCCGGGCAGAGGCCTCTCTGGACCATATTCCCTCACCCACTTCTGATATGCCTGACATAGGGGACACAAAGAAGCCTTAATGCGGTGAATAACCAGAAATACGACAACAAATGAAGCGCTGCACTTCATGGCTTAAGTGTTTTACTTTCTTTCAAACCAAGGACACTTAAAGACGCCCATTCACTTTTAGTTGAATAGGCTGACCTTATGGCCCTCTCAAAGTGGCTATTGATAAAAAAAGGTGTACATGAATTGACGAGTTTAAAAATGGGAGTAAATCAGTTTTTTTCATTTACAGGAATCGAGCAGAATATGACATTTTGAACGCTGATTAGTTCTTACTTACATAGTACGATAACTTCAGTCCTCCCATATCCGCTATGTTCTCCCCCAGTGTTAGACGGCCATTGACCTACGCACACGGACCAAGATTACGAAACTTTAAAAGACTCCGACGTGTTCAGGACCAGATTAAGTCAGTGATAGAAACAAAACTAAACTATACATCGGTGTTTTCCCCGGGAGGGATTCCTCTGCTTGTCATTTGTCTTTGCCTGTGGAGGGATGCAGCTTATGGGCTGATATCTATGTTTACAGCACCTGCTGGCTTTCAGTACAGTGTGAGTGACGTTGTTAACCTGAAATGTTGTGCGACATGGCAGCGTAAATTGGGATTGATGATGATATACTTTGGGATCGATATAGTGTGTGTCTATTTACTCTCCTGTAAGACTCCACGAGACCTAAACCAATACATTCTCACCTCTCTTACCTTTAAATTCTAAGTATTTTAAGCTTAAAACATGTTTGGGGTTAGATCTATTATGCAGCATTAGCTTTTCATATAAAAGGACATGCTAAGGTTTTAATCTATCCATTTACGTGGCAGTGTTTATGTTAAAAACCTAAAGGAAACACAAGAGCTGATTCTTCCCTCTCACAGTTTTCAGTCCTGACTTCTGACACTAGTTTTAACCATATAGAAAAACATTACACGTTTTCTTGTGAGATCGAGCAGCTTAGTGGTGTTTTGAACACAAAATACTGTAATTTTCGGACCACTAGCTGCCACACACGGTTCTAATACTGCAGCTTAAACAACCATATGGCTAATTTCTGGATTTCTACATGATAATGAGATTCATGCATATGCCCTAGTCATATCAACCTTTTTGTGTAGCTACCTCATGCACAATGTGGACAGCTGCAATTTATAGGAAAGTACGGCCTGTATGTGTACAATTTTCTTTTATTTTAAAGTTAGCGGTGGGTTTAAATTCAGCTGTGCTCAACAGACCAAAAAAATATGTCATGCAAACTGTATCCAGGCTAGATAAGCTGAGCGTGGAAAACAAGACGAGCACAGCTCATCAGACATTGTTTGACAGAGGAAACGCGTTCAACAAGAACATTAGAGGCCAACTTCATTTTATATGTTTGCTCTCTAATTCTTAGAAATGAGACATAGCTCATCACAGCGACATGAGTGGTTTTACAGCCGTAAAAGGTTCGGATGTGATGACTTCCTGGTACTACAGCTAACTGGGTCCTGTTTTTCAGTCTCACATGGTAAAATGTAGCTGTTTGCTGGACATAGCATTTTATGGTTGACCTTATTTTCACTATGAAGAATGGGAAAGTAATCAGTAAATCAGCAAATAAGGTAAAAAAATAAAATAAAATAACCCAGATAAATTCATTCTTATTTAGAAGTTGTTTAAATCTGTTTCGACACCCGACAAGTGGGAAAAATGATGGACATAAAAGCACATAACCATTTATACAGAATCGTTTTTCCCTCATTTTTAAATGACATTAGGTCTTAGTGGTGGTAGCAAAACATTCTCCATGCTGGTTGGTGTGTAGGCTTACCCTCTGGGTATATACAGTGAAGTTGTCATAGAGTTTGACGATACATTCCGCCTTCTTCTGGAACTTCCTGTAGGACTCCTCCGTCCACCACTGTTTGAGGTTGCCATGGCGATCATACTGGCCCCCTATGGACATAAGATCTTGGCATCACTAAGATGAGGGCAATGGTTGATCAGAGGAATTTATAACTTTCACTTCACGTTCTAAGGAAGAGCCCATTTTCCTGTTTATTGGTAGAAATAACAGCCAAATCACGACAGCTAAAAAAAAGAAAAGTCCACGGTCGATTCAAGGTGATGTATAAAAATGTGTCACCATCCTGCAAAGAGGCTTGTTTTGCACCTCAGAGTGAAGGCAAAGTTATAGTCTGTGGTTCAAAGGAGCCTTTGTTTCCCATTTTTTCAATCGAATGGCAATAAAGTAAAATACAGTAAGACTGTCCCAAAAGGGGGGATATGTATTCAGTGAGTTTTGCTGGGAGAGGTTTTCGTTCTTACCCCAGTCATCGTATCCATGTGTTAGCTCATGTCCAATGATAGCTCCTATCCCGCCGTAGTTCAGGGACCTGGCAGGAGAATGGGAAAAAAAGGACATATTTATATGACAAACTATTGAATTTACACATGCAAGTAAGCCGGTTTATGGGTCAAATTTTTCAGGGCCTTTTATTTCAACAACGGGTTTTGTCCCAGAATACAAACACAGGAAGAATGGATTTGCTATGTCAAATACTGCCGCGATAGCTGGTGAAAAGTGTTTGAACTGTAATATCTTTAGGCTGATACCAGCAGGAAACTGGAAACTCAGGACCTGTAGAATATGTGCAAACCACCCAGAAGAGCTCCACTTCACTGTTCTCGACTGTTTGTATTGTATTTGAAAAGTCCAACACGATCCCAATTTAGTGTTATGTTAGCATTGTGACTGAGGTGTCAAAAATGAAAGCATATCATACATTTATTTTCGATGTCGAAGGATAGAGGTTGTTCCTACCTTAACTAATTATGATGCATTCTTGATTAAATCTGAGGTGTAATTCACCTTGTAGCATCAGCTGCTATATGCTTGTGCAACCAGGAAGTCAACACTAGATCATTTGGGGAACACTTTTGCTCCTTGACTGGCAGTTCAGAGTGGTAAAATCCAATTTTAGTGGCCATACGTATGAATTATTAGAGGCAAAAAGGGGCAGGCATATGTATTGTAAAGCTAAAAATTGTTAAGACAGTCCGTAGGCACATCTATCTGTTCTTTCCAGGTTTGAGCAGCTCAGAATTATACAATTTCTCTCTGATTTATTCTTTAATTTAGATTTTAAACGCTTGCTTTGTTTGGACACACGCTGCTTTTTGTCTCTTTTCACATATGGGCCTAGTTTAAATCTAATATAAGCTATTAGCTTCGCCCCAGTTTAAGCCATCCATCTATTTCCTATACACGCTTTTTCCAAGACGCAGCCACCAAAGAGGAGAGAAAACGACTGCAACAGCCTCTAAGAGCTGCAGAGAAAATCATAGGTGCCCCCCCCCCTGTCACAGATCAAGATTAAGAAAACAAGGAGGAAGAATCTCCTCACACCCTGCACACAATCTTTTGGATTTTCGCACCATGTTTCTTATCCACAGTGCCTCTTGGCCCGGCCCCACACATTGATGCACATGACTGTTTCTGGATTATGTGTGTTTTTTTTATAGATTATTCTGTTTACATTGATCACCTGTATCAGCGGAAGTTTTTACATTCTTTTACTTCGGGTCTCTTTCCCATCACCCATGACTAAGCAACCAGTTTTTTTTTGTTACCACCATGTTGTTTTTCCCTGTGTTGATCCTAGGTGCTTTAATTTTACTCAACTATTTGGATTTCCTGCCTCTTAAACTTTGTTGTTATTCTGAATTCGGCATCACTAAATTGGTTAAAACCAAGCTGCACTTCAGGTCTAGATTTGGCTCTATTGGGTTGAAGGTTGGTGTTGAATGAAATGGGAGCAGAGCCACATTTTCTTTGATTGCAAAACGACAAACGTCCAAGGTAAATATCAAACAGCTGCATCGCGAACCGAAATATGGATTCTCCGGTTGACGAGTAAAGAAAGACAGCATGAGTGTTCATGGGTTCTGTGGTTGTCCCAGTTCCCCCACATTCTAAAAAACCAGCGGTTAGACCCTCCCCACCCCCACCCCCCCATCCTGAGGTAAGCTGGACTTTGGACTTTGCCACCCATGCAGGTCCAGAGAGGTACCAGAGGGCCCCGACTTGAGGCTATTCACATGGCCACGTCTAAAAATGACTTTCTGACAGCTAGTCGATGAGCTGCCTCTCACCGGGCCCCCCCCCCCCCCCCCCCACCCTCCTCACTAAACTAACAGGCTCCTGTAGGCTTCATTATACTGGACATGAGTGGAGGTGTGTGTGTGTATGTGTGAGACAAAGTGAGTGTATGGGAGGTTAGGGCTACCGCAGTTATAACTTAAAGAGGGGGGGGGGGGTACGCGCACACGTTCCTGCAGCCATCAATTAAAATTGATTAGCATTCATAGCAGTGAGTAGTAAATCCTGTGGCGCATAGCTCTAATGAAGACGTAGAAGTAGCGGCTAATGCTGAATGAACAGCTCTGTCAAATGATCTCATACTGGGTTGGTTAGGATGTGGTTTTTTTTTGGGGGGGGGCAGGTGCTATAGCTACCTAGACTGTGTTGATTCATTTGCTTAAACAATGCTCATTAGTAACAGCAGGTTGCTGCTCTGCAAATAGCTTTGGCTAAAATTATATGTTGAGGTGATAAAATCTTGTTTGTTGGAGCAATTCTTATGAACACATTAGAAAATCTCCATCGGAACAAGCATTCAGTTTAGAAAAGAGGGTAATGCATTAGAATATTCTCTTTCAGAGTACGCGTTAATACGATTTTTCTTATGGAACTGACGTTCATGATTAACACAACAAACCTAATTATTTCACTAAACCGAAAATACAACGTCACTGGCTCAATATTAATTTCAGAAAGGGGGTTTAAAGCTCTGATCCTCACATAGAAATCTCTGAATCTCCTCTTAAAGACCTCATAGTTGGAGCACTCGAGGCAGATGGCCTGCTTTCCCGGTTCTCTCTTTTCGAATGTGTTTTTTTTTTTCCCTTTCCTGTGGGCTCAGGAATGGGGCAGAGGATTGAAGTGAAGGGCAATCAGTTTCCTTGGCTTTTTTGCTCTGTATAATCTGTGTCTGTCTGTCCGCCCGTTTGTTTCCATCTGGAAAATTAACCGTGAAATTTCCAGAGCTATTGCTGCGTCTGGGCTGTAACAGGTTTGTCGGCGTGTTGCCACTGTTGCTGTGGTAACGCTTGACAAGCATTTATTTTTCACAAAATCAGTTATTCTTATCTCTTTGGTCCCCTCACTGTCCAAAAACATGCATATATGGTTCATTGGTGTCTCCATATTGTCCCCAGATAATAGATTCCCCAGATCTATCTATCTATCTATCTATCTATCTATCTATCTATCTATCTATC